CAGAGAAGCCATTGAATCCACAAGCATGTGGACAATTTCAACAGAAAGGAGGAAACCATGAAAATGAACAAAATCTGGCTACCAGTATTAAAAAAACTCAAATTACTACAGCAAAACAGCAGAGAGGAAACAGCCAGGCACATCTTAACACCTCTCAACAGAACATTTTCCCAGGCTCTGCCAGGCCTTCAAATGCTACCTACAAGAACCTAACACTAGTAATAATAATTCAATATTATAAGTATAATTATATATTTACATTACATGTAATATTACTAATATTACAATATAACGGTATACTGCAATATAGTAATATATACTGATATTGTACTATGCTAATAATATAATATATTGTATGAAAATATATATTGTAAGCCGCTCTGAGTCCCCTTCGGGGTGAGAAGGGCGGCATATAAAAGCCGTAAATAAATAAATAAATAAATAAATGTATTTGAGAAAACAGAAAGTTTAAAAACTTGGCATTATATTAAATGTTTGACCAATAACTGGCCACTTGCAGTGCCTCTAGTGCAGGGGTCCTCAAACTAAGGCCTGGGGGCCAGATATGGCCCTCCAAGGTCATTTACCTGGCCCTTGCTTAGGGTCAACCTAAGTCTGAAACTACTTGAAAGCAAACAGCAATCCTATCCCATCAGCCAAAAACAGGCCCAAGCTTCCCTTTGAAATACTAATACATTTATATTTGTTAAAATTTTCTTCCATTTTAATTATTGTGTTGTTTTTAAGTGGTTTTTTTTTTTTTTGCATTACAAATAAGATGTACAATGTGCATAGGAATTCATGTTTTTTTTTCCAAATTATAATCTGGCCCTCTAACAGTTTTAGGTACTGTGACCTGGCCCTCTGTTTAAAAAGTTTGAGGACCCCTACTCTCTAGTGTCATGTGCATGTGGCATGGCTCAGGCTGTATTATAGTCAGTGGTCTGTGGTTTGCTCTTTGCACTTACTTACTTAGGCGATCCCTTGTAGTCCGAGGATGATGGTCCTCCAAGTGTAGTGTCCTGGCGGTGGGTCCGTAGGTGACTGTGGAGCCCTATTCTTTTGCCCTCCATTCGTGCCTCTTCAAATTCTACAGCACTGCTTGTCACAGCTGACCTCCAGCTGGAGCGCTCAAGGGCCAGGGCTTCCCCGTTCTCGGTGTCTATGACAGAGTTTTTAAGGTTGGCTTTGAGCCCGTCTTTCAATCTCTTTTCCTGTCCACCAACATTCTGTTTTCTGTTCTTGAGTTCGGAGTAGGGCAACTGCTTTATTTTATTTATTATTTATTTTATTTTGAGTATTTCTACCCCCACCCTTCTCAACCCCCAAAGGGGGACTCAGGGCGGCTTACAAAAGGCACAATTCGATGCCAGCAATATACATAATAAGATAAAATACATAGCAGCAACAATGATAAAATAATTAAAACAATCCAGTTATACAATACAACTAATAAAAACCAATCTAGTGATCAACGTTCGCCAAGCTCAAAATCTGTAAGTTCATGCTTTGGGAGACAGTGGTCAGGCATCCATACAACGTGGCTGGTCCAGCAGAGTTGATGGCGGAGGACCATCGCTTCAATGCTAGTGGTCTTTGCTTCTTCCAGCACGCTGACATTTGTCTGCTTGTCTTCCCAAGACATTTGCAGGATTTTCCGGAGGCAGCGCTGATGGAATCGTTCCAGGAGTTGCATGTGACGTCTATAGACAGTCCACGTCTCATAGGCGTATACCAGGGTTGGGAGGACAATGGCTTTATAAACAAGCACCTTGGTATCCCTATGGATGTCCCGGTCCTCAAACACTCTGCTGCATTTGGCAAAATGCTGCACCCGCAGAGCTCAGGCGGTGATGAATTTCAGTGTCAATGTTGACTTTTGTGGAGAGGTTGCTGCCAAGGGAGTGGAAATGGTCCACATTTTCTAATGTTACACCATTAAGCTGTATCTCTGGCATTGGAGAGGGATTGGCAGGTGACTGCTGGAAGAGCACTTTGGTTTTCTCGATGTTCAATGACAGGCCGAGCTTCTCATATGCTTCTGCAAAGGAGTTTAGAGTGGCTTGTAGGTCTTCTGAATGTTCACAGACGACGTTGTCATCAGCATACTCTTTGCACTAGCATGTTGCGGACTCCATTTTGAGGCCCCATTTCTTAAGGTTGGCTCTGCATCTCGTGGTGCCAGAGCGCAGTCTGTTTAGCATCTTCCAAGTCGCCCAGTTTTATATGTGCCCAGGAGGGAGTCTCTCATTTTGGTATCAGCCATTGTTTGACGTTACGGGTTTTTGCCTGCCACTTTTGGACTCTCGCTTGCTGAGGTGTTCCTGCAAGTATCTCTGTAGATCTTAGAAAACTATTTCTAGATTTAAGTCGTTGACGTGCTGGCTGATACCCAAACGGGATGAGCTAGAGATGTCTCTGCCTTGGTCCTTTCACTGTTGGCTGCTACTTCCCGGCGGATGTCAGGTGGTGCAATACCGGCTAAGCAGTGTAATTTCTCCAGTGGTGTAGGGCGCAGACACCCCGTGATAATGCGGCATGTCGCATTAAGAGCCACATCCACTGTTTTAGTGTGGTGAGATGTCTTCCACACTGGGCATGCGTACCTAGCAGCAGAGTAGCATAGCGCAAGGGCAGATGTCTTCACTGTGTCTGGTTGTGATCCCCAGGTTGTGCCAGTCAGCTTTCGTATGATATTGTTTCTAGCACCCTCTTTTTGCTTGATGTTCAGGCAGTGCTTCTTGTAGGTAAGAGTGACGCCCAAGTATTTGGGTGTGTTGCAATGCTCCCAGGTAATCCTCAGAAATTGAGATACTTGTCTGTTCTTAAGATTAAAAGCACATATTTGTGTTTTAGATGGATTAGGAGCCAGTTGGTTTTCCCTGTAACAGTCAGTAAGAACACCTAAAGCTTTGCAGAGCTTCTGTTCAACCATCTCAAAGCTCCCTGCTTGAGCGGTGATGGCACGATCGTCAGTGTAAATTTATGTAAGGAAATGTACGTACAGTAGAGTCTCGCTTATCCAACATTAATGGGCCGGCAGAATGTTGGATAAGCGAAAATATTGGATAATAAGGAGGGATTAAGGAAAAACTATTACACATCAAATTATGTTATGATTTTACAAATTAATCATAGAAACTTCATTTTTACAACAAATTGACAGAAAAAGCAGTTCAATACACAGTGACGTTAGATAGTAATTACTGTATTTACATATTTAGCACCAAAACATTGCAATGTATTGAAACAGCTGTGGATCTGGGCGGGAGGCAGACTGTGTTGGCGAATACAGAACACTGGATGAGCGAAGGTTGGATTTATTTATTTTAGTGTTTTATAGTGTACACCAGAAACAAAGCAGACAATAGAGAAACAAACAAAAAATAAAAACCCTGAAAAAATGGGAAAAACCAACAAGGAAATAAGATATACAAAAGAGCAAGCGAGTTTACAAAATGGTATACATTAGTTAAACATGTGAAAAATCAAATTTGTTATATCTTATTATACCTTAACATTTCTTATCCCTCTAACCCCACACCCGTGAACCCAACCCCTATGATCTCCCGACACCCCTCAGTACAGATCACATAACTAACCCACAACTACCCATATGTCTTCTTTCACTAAATCCCCTTTATGGCAATCTTCAAATCTATCTTTGTCTTCTTTTCCAGATACTCAAGTGATTTTTGAATTCTTCATTATTTTCTCCTCTGTTGCGATTTGTCAGCTTGGCCAGGGTGAGCGAAAGTTGGATAAGCAAGTCTCTAGTTTTTGGGGTTTTGTTTGTTTGTTTGTTTATTCATTTAGTCGCTTCCGACTCTTCGTGACCTTCTGGACCAGCCCACGCCAGTGCTCCCTGTCGGCCGTCACCACCCCCAGCTCCTTCAAGGTCAAGCCAGTCACTTCAAGGATACCATCCATGTATCTTGCCCTTAGTCGGCCCCTCTTCCTTTTTCCTTCCATTTTCCCCAGTATCATTAGCTCCGTCAAGCTTTCCTGTTTTCTCATTATGTGGCCAAAATACGTCATATTTGCCTCTCATATCATTCCTTCCATTGAACAGCTGGGTTTTATTTCCATGGCTTCTTCTTTTCACTTTTTTCCTCCCAGTTCAGTTTCGTCTCATGGTAAATAATTTATTTTTGCTATCATTTGAACACAGAATTTAAGATTCTTGACAAATTTAATCATTATGTATATAGTGTCCCCGTGAATGGTAACTTGGTTGTTTCCAGTTAAAAGTAACACGCTACTTAGTAAACACATTGAAATGATTTTGCTAATTTATTTATTTATTTATTTATTTATTTACTTCATTTGTTGACCGCCGCTCTCAGCCCTGGGGCGACTCGCGGCGGTGTACAACATATAAAAACAGTCTACAAAAACATACAATGAATCGACAACCAAATTACACATTAATCTAAACACAATAATAAATCCGCGCCATCAACATAGAGAACATAGCCAATCTCATAATCCAAGGTCCATTCCAGATGTCATTACCAAATTCGTGTGGGTCTCAATTGAATGCCTTCCCGAATAGCCAGGTCTTTAGGCTCTTACGGAAGGCCATAAGGGAGGGCGCCTGTCTAATATCAGCAGGGAGGGCGTTCCACAGCCGGGGGGCCACCACTGAGAAGGCCCTCTCTCTCGTCCCCGCCAGGCGTGCCTGTGAAGCGGGCGGGATCGAGAGAAGGGCCTCCCCGGATGATCTCAAGGCCCTCGTGGGCTCATAGGCCGAGATGCCTATATATTATATTATATTATATTAATTATATTTAATTAAAATATAAATGGTGTATTTTGACTGTGAGTGTGCGCACTGAAATTTTGTGTTCTTTTTATGCTTTTAGGGCTCATCTTGGAGTTCCTTCCAAATCTGCATACTACTATCAAAGTGCATTGGACTGTAGTATTTAGGACCACTGACACTTCTTTCATTATTGTGAAGAGAAGAAGTGCTGATAAACTTTGCTTTATTCCTGGTAAAGCAGCATCGAGGAACAGAGCAGGATTTTGGACTGAATTTTAGATATTTATGAAATAACTACTGGTAAGTCTTAGTCTCCAAATGACATGAATGTCTGTACATAATCATATTTTTTTTGGTGTGTCTCCCCCTCCTCCAAATTTAGGATAACATTAAAATGATATTTTTTGTATTTCATACAAGAAAATACATTTTTAAAAATGGTTTCTAGTTTTCCTTCTCAGAGTTCTTTTTCATTACAGCCGTCCATGCTTTAGTCACATCCCGTTTGGATTACTGCAATGCTCTCTACGTGGGGTTGCCTTTAAAGATATTTTGGAAGCTTCAATTGATTTAATATTTTCATTTTTATTTTTAGTCAGTTTTAAAAGGATTTTGGTATTTTGTGATGCTTTTAGTTGTTATTTTGTTCATTAAGTTAAAATTAGGTTGTGGGATATTGTCGAATGTGTTTATTTTGATGTAATTATATGTATGGTTTTTTTTTTTTCAGGCAGTTGAATGTTTGCCTTACATGTGGGAAACCTCCCTGAGTCCCTTTGGGGAGATAGAGCAGTATACAAATAAAGTTTTATTATTATACTAGCTGTAAAAGCCATGCATTGCTGTGGCCAACCTTTCCTCCCTCTTTCTCTCTGCCTTCCTTTCTTTCTTTCTTTCTTTCTTTCTTTCTTTCTTTCTTTCTTTCTTTCTTTCTTTCTTTCTTTCTCTCTCTCCCTTCCTTCCTTCCTTCCTTCCTTCCTTCCTTCCTTCCCTTTCTTTCCTTCTCTTCCTCCTCCTCCTCCTCCTCTTCCTCATCTCTTCCTTCCTCCCTTTTCTTTTCCTTCCCCTTTCTCCCCTTTCTTCCTTCTCTACCTATTCTTGGACTGCAACTTCCAACAGTCCTTCTAATTGATCTATCTACCTACCTATCTCCATCTAATCTAACTATCTGGAGGATTGCTGGGAGTTACAGTCCAAAAATAGGAAATATGCAGGGATTGAGATGCTCTCAAAGAAATACAAGGAGAAGCAAGCTTGCATATTGGAAGCAATGCATTTGGATCATCCTCCTTCTCCTAAAGGGCCTGGTCTAGGGGATACTGGGAGCTGTCATCTGGATATGCCATTGTGTGTTTTGTTTGCTGGGGGAGTCATTTTTGCACATGCGCTGTAGCATCTTTGTGCATTTTTGGATTTTTAAGCCCCTTCCACTGTGTTTTTCAGTGTTTTTATGAGTGATGGTCACTCGTTGGCCTGTTAGGAGTGTCCAAATTTCATGTCAATTCGTCCAGTGGTTTTTCAGTTATGTTAATCCCACAAACGAACATTACATTTTTATTTATAGAGATTATTATTATTATTCAGAGATTGGCAGTCATGTTACTAATGAGAGCCCTACAGGGAACGAACAACTTCCATGTTACGTCAGCTTCGCGGCTGCCAATCTGCTTCCAGGCTAAATATAAAGTGCTGGTCATTACCTCTAAAGCCCTAAACGATCCAGGCCCAGATTATTTGACATCCTGCATCCCTGTTTACAAACCTGTTCAGACTTTGTAATCATCGGAGGGGGCCCTCTTCTCGGTCCCACCCTTGTCTCAAGCGCAGCTGGTGGGAACAAGAGAGGGAGCCTTCTCTGTGGTTGCCCCTTCCCTCTGGAACTCCTTCCCAAAAGAAATTAGAACAGCCCTACACTCCTCTCCTTTAAGAAAGAGCTAAAAACCCACCTTTGCTTGCTTGCGTACAGAGAGGAGGATGCTGTAACATCATTGACTTTCAATGGAAGAAGCTGACGATGACTATTTTATTGTAATTTATTGAAGAGCTATATTTTTATATCTTATACAGTTTAAATTGTTTGACCATATGCTCTATGATGCTTGACAGTTTAATTTCTATTACCAGCCAATATATTTTAATTTGTTTTAATGTATAAGTGTCTTAATGTTGAGTTGATGGCATTTAATGTTTGCCAATTTTAAGTTTTATATCTGGAAGCTGTCCTGAGGGAAGAGAGGGTGGGTTAAAAATTAACTATTATTAGTAGTAGTATTAGTATTGTGATGAGATGAGTTGTGAGATTGATTAGTTAATATTCTCAAGCATAATGGTGACTTATATATCTTTCCTAATATAATAATTGGGCTTCAGCTTCCTGTATATCATAAAGATTTACAATAGTTTTAGCAATTTTTAAAGAATGTTTATGTTTTCTCCTCAGTCCAAACACTCCACAAGAGAGTGTAGTATTCATTTTTATTTTGTATTATTACTTTAAGAACATATTTTCAGTTTATCCTGTGGAAGACCCTTGATGTTTCATAAATAATGGGAATTTGAAGAAATGTATAACTTTTTTTCAAATACTTCATTTTGTGATAAGCAAAAAGATCTGATGCAGAGGGAGAAGTCTATAGTTGGCTCTAGATTTGATTATTCACAGATTTGATTAATAATAATAATAGTAATAATAACTTTATTTGTATTCCGCTCTATCTCGTTGAAGGGACTCCGGACGGATTCCAACAGATCAAAGGCAAACATTCAATGCCTTGATAAAACCATAAATACAAATACAATAAAACAAATAAACTAATATCTAAAACCAAAGCAGTTCAATACATGGTAACGTTATGTAGTAATTCCTGTATTTGCGAATTTAACACCAAAACATCGCAATGTATTGAAACAGCTGTGGATCTGGGCGGGCGGCAGGCTGCGTCCTATAATACAGAACGTTGAATGAGCGAAGGTTGGATAAGTGAGGCTCTACTGTAATGGGAATTTGAAGAAATGTATAACTTGTTTCAAATAGTTTATTTTGTGATAAACAAAAAGATCTGTTGCAGAGGGAAAAGACTATAGTTGGCACTCCACATTTGCAGATTTGATTATTCTCAGATTTGATTATTAATAACAATAAACTTTATTTGTATTCTGCCCTGTCTCCCCGAAGGGACTCAGAGCAGATTCCAGCAGATAAAAGGCAAACATTCAATGCCTTGATAAAACCATAAATACAAATACAATAAAACAAATAAACTAATATTTAAAACCTATTTATGTATGTATTTATTTATTTACTGTTTTTGTATACCGTCTTTCTCAGCCCATAGGCGACTCAAGGCAGTTAAAAAGATAAAATTCAATACTTAAAATATTATAAATACAATTAAAAACAACATATAATAAAAGCTAAACAAATCAATAAAATATAAATTCATAGTGTCTCCTTGTTAAAAACGTTGTCCGGTCTCATTGTCGTCATTCCATTTTCCTACGTCAGTTACTCTGCATTTGGAAATGCTTGTTCAAAAAGCCACGTTGTTGTGACTCAGTCTGAGCCTGAACTGTTTGGGCCTTATGCTGGGCCTGCGGGGCCTTCTGAGCCTGACTTTCTGCAGGATGATGAGGAACCTGATGGGTTACAGATTTCTGTATATGTTCCAGACGGGGCTGATGGTGTGGCTTCTGAGGAAAAAACAGCAAGTCTGTTCCCCGGAAAAAGGAATGTGCCTTTAGATAAAGATAGTGAAACTCCACAACTGCAGGTGGAGACTCCTGGTTCCCAGGGTGATCAGGCCCAGCTGAGCCGAGAGAATGAGTTGTCTAGCCTTGAAGATAATAGTGAATTAATGAGTAGACAGGATCGTTTACAATTAAGAGTTCGCAGAAGCACACGCCTTGCTAGCAATCGTGAAGCCAAAGGTCAACATAATGCTTTCATGTCAGGGAAACTTATTTAATGATGTAGCCAACAGGCAGTTTCTGTCAGTCCAGTGTTGCTCTTTCCTTGGTTAACTTCTGTGGAATTACCTTGGCTTTTACGGAACGGTTCTGGCTTCTTTGAGACTTGGATTTTGATCCTGATGTTACCTGTCTACCATGGACTTTTGTTTGACCATTGCTAAGGGATTATGCTTCATGTTATTTGCCTTTGGATCTTGGGAACTTTGCCTTTGCATTTAAGACTCTGTTTTGCCTATTGAACTTTTGCATCTTTATTTCTCTGTTTTGATTTTGCCTTTTCTCAATAAACTACAAAACCTACAGCCTTGGTTTGTGATGGTGTCTTGAGCAAGGTGAAAACTACCCTGAGTTGCGACACACGTCTTGACTTTTTTCCGGAATGTTAAAAGGGAGGTAGCCGATCTAATATCTATAGGGAGGGCGTTCCATAGCCGAGGGGCCACCACCGAGAAGGCTCTGTCTCTCGTCTCCACCAAACGTACTTGTGACAAAGGCAGTAATGAGTGCAGGGCCTCCCCAGATGATCTTAAGGTCTTAGATCAGTGGTTCTCAACCTGTGGGTCCCCAGGTGTTTTGGCCTACAACTCCCAGAAATCCCAGCCAGTTTACCAGCTGTTAGGATTTCTGGGAATTGAAGGCTAAAAACATCTGGGGACCCCAGGTTGAGAAGCACTGTCTTAGATGGTTCATAAAAGGAGATGCGTTCGGACAGGTAAGTTGGGCCAGAACTGTTTAGGGCTTTATAGGCTAAAGCCAGCACTTTGAATTGTGCTCGGTAGCAGACTGGCAGCCAGGGGAGCTGGCACAACAGCCAATGGAGCTGCCGTTCGTTGTACCTTTGAAACTTCCAGACAGTTTTCAAAGGCAACCCCACGTAGCTGACCGGATCTCCTCCTATGAACCTACATGAGCCCCGAGGTCATCAGGAGAGGCCCTTCTCTCAGTCGTACCATTGTCCCAAGTGTGATTGGTGAGAACTGTGCTCTCTCTAAGTCCTCATCACACTAGAGAAAAAATACACTTAAAATCCGGTTTCAACCTTCTGCAGAATTCTGGTGTTTGTAGTTTAGGGGGAAGCCTTTAACAGCCCCACTAAACTACTAACCCCAGATTTCTGCAGGAGGCAGAAACTGGATTTTAAGTGGATTTTTTCTCTAGTGTGAGGAATCTCTAGGTGTCTTAGGCTTTTGCAGTCTCTTCACTGCTCACATTTCTTCTCTATCTTTTGTTTATCAGACTTAAACCTGACTTGGAAACTCGGAAGGTGGGCAGACATGGAGCAGTATCCATGTGATGAAAACCCCCTCCAATCTGAGATGCAGCTTCCTGAGTTTTCGGGAAATCCAGTGTTGGACTGCAATGACACTTTCAGCCATGACTTATGCCCAGATATGAGAGACATGATTTATTCAGGCCTCAACAATGTGGATGTGGACCCTAGCCTTTCGGCTACAAGTGTCAATAATGACTCTCTGGAGGACAACCTGGACACGTTGTCTTTATATACCGTGAAGGACTGTGATTCTTCAAAACTCCTTGATGACTGTGACACAGACTCACGGCCGCTCTTGCCTGGTGAGTGGCCTTCAGTAGGTTATTTAATTATTGCATTGCATAAATAAGTTTAAAACTGATAAAATAAAGGGATGACAAGCAGCTAAATACTGCATATACTCTAGTATAAGCCTAGTTTTTCAGCCCCCTTTTTTTAGGCTGAAAAATCTCCACTCGGCTTATACTCGAGTAAAGGTTATTTACTATTTTACTCTGTTATTGGTATTATTTTTATTGCATTTATTATTTTTCTCTATGACTGTTATTACATTTCCATTGTTTTACTCTATTATTAATTTTATTACATTTATCATTTTACTCCCTTTATTATTATTGGAAGGGTATGTAAGCACATTTACATTGAAAAAGGTTAGAATACTGGTTTAATCAGAGTTAGACAGTCTTATCTTAAATTACAGTTTTATGTAAATATTCAAAAAAAATATTTATTTATTAACTATTTCTATACCCCGCCTGCTCTCAACCCAAAGAGGCCTCAGAGCAGCTTACAAGTTATACGTATATACAATATATATTATTCACATAGAATAATATTATATATTATATTGTACTATACAACTAAAATGCAATATTATTAGCAATACTACATGTAATGTATAACATACAATTATTATTATATTGTATTATTATTAGTATTATTATATTGTATTACATTAAAATAGTATTATTAATATTATATGTACATAATTGTATCATTAGCATAGCACAATATTAGTATTATATATTACTATATTATACTATACCACTATACTGCAATATTATTGGTAATATTACATGTTATATGTAATATACGATTATTATATTGTATTATTATTATATTACGTTATAATATGATTATCAATATGATATGTATGTTAAAAATTCAAAAACATTGAACCTACTGATGCCTCAATTAATGTAATTTTATTGGTATCTATTTCTATTTTGAAACTTACCAGTAACTGCTGCATTTCCCACCCTCGGCTTATACTCGAGTCAATACATTTTCCCAGTTTTTTGTGGTAAAATTAGGTGCCTCAGCTTATATTCGGGTCGGCTTATACTCGAGTATATGCGGTAATTGAAACTGAAGGATGGATCAGGGTTCAAGGCATCATAAAATTCCATTCCAATTGGAAAGGTATTGTTACTGATATGATTATGTTCTGTGGAAAGGAAATACAAGCACTAAAACTACTAAATTGTATGATTTGAAAGGCCTTGCTGCCTGGTGTGGCTTGCTCTGGAATAGTGGTAAGGAGACATGTTAATGTCAGAAGGAATCCTGGGAATGAGAGGGGAATGCGCATTAAACTACAGCTATGTCAATAAAGTTGTTTTCATCCATTTAAGAATTAGGCCTTCCCGCTCCTTCCGCACCAAAAGAAGTGGAGCAAGGAGGACGATCCAGTTCTGGCAGTGGAAAGAAAGGGAAGATCCACCAAAACTCCCCACAAGCATCTTTCCTGGATTGCAGCGTCTGTGGGAAGGCTTTCAGTAGCACCAGCTCACTCAGCAAGCATTATCTGACTCACAGCCAGGAGCGGAAGCACGTCTGTAAGATCTGCAGCAAAGCATTTAAGCGGCAGGACCACCTGTAGGTATCTGCCAATAAAACTGATTTAAGTGCATGAAGATAATTTTTGCTGTAGTGGAAATATGGCTCGTTTCAATTTGCAATTGTGTCTGGCAAATAACCAAATGTAGTTAATATTCCTTAGTCATCATATATGATATAATCTGCCTCCAATTTAAGTAAAATGGCAAAAATCGAGCTGCTTTGCAATGATACTCTGAGTGCACGGAGTAGTACATAGTCAGGTTTCATAAAACTAGTCTAGGGAGAATCCCGGCGATGAATAGGACGCTAGCGTTTTGGAAACACTGGTTTTCTAATATTTCTTTGCCATATGTGAAAGAATATAAGACCCCCCAGAGAATTGGCGGGGTGGGTGTGGAGAGCGTTGAGCAATTCTCTGACGGGATTTTTTTATAATGTTAATATTGATTTAGGATTGTTTCCGCATCCTCATCTTTCTCTGAAAACCCTATCCTAGTTTATCCTACCTTGCTCATGCCCAACATTTTAAATTTTAATTATTACATTTGGCCTGGCCACAGATTTTAAATGCTGTATGTTATTGTTATTGTTTATTGCTTATTGTGTTTTTTTTGTTCTTGAGTTTATTTTAACTGTTTTGTATTGACTATTCGTTATCGCCTTTGTTTATTGATGTGCTGTGGGATTGGCCTCATGTAAGCCACACCGACTCCCTTGTAACGGGGTACAAATAAAGTATTATTATTATTATTATTATTATTATTATTATTATTAGTGAGGTTTTCAGAATATACATAAAAATAGAAAGGAGAAGTAACAAAAATATATATATAGTGGTTACATCGAAAGTGGGAGAACATTTTATGGATAAGAAAACAGTAGGAAAAAAGAAAAACGAGGAAAAGGAGAAGAAAGGATAAAAAGGTAAAAAAAGATTAAAAAATAAAATAAAAAGTGTCCAAAAACAGGAAAAAAATTGTGATGACTTCCATCTGATCTTTCTTGGTCTTTTGTTGTCTTTATCCATATTTGTCAGAAGGGATATTGATGTAATGATTTTACACAAAAAAAATTCTTCAACTAAAATGAAGTGGAACTATGAGGAGTTATTCAGCTTTTTTCTTGGGAAAAAATCTCCATTCGTAGCTTTCCAATAGTTATATTATCTTGTTATTGTAATGGGAAAGTAGATACCGTATATATTCAAGTATAAACTGAGTTTTTCAGCCTTTTTTTAGGCTGAAAAGCCCCCCCCCCCCTCGACTTATATTCAAGTCAGGTTTATTTATTATTTTACTCTGTTATTATTATTATTTTATTACATTTATTATTTTACTTTATTTATTACTATTTTGTTACATTTATTATTTTACTTTATTTATTACTATTTTATTACATTTATTATTTTACAGTATTCCCTCACTTATTCTGGGTGTTCCGTTCCAGGACAACCCACGATAAGTGAAAATCCGTGAAGTAGGGATGCTCCACCCACTCGAGTGGGCGGAGTGTCCCTACCTCGCGGCGGCCTCCTTCTTGCCTTGCCACTCTGCTGCTCCCCGCCTCAGAGGCTCCTTCCTCACCAGACTGGGTGCCCAAGCCTGGCGTCTAGCCTGGCGAAGAAGGAGTGGGGAGCAGCAGAGGGATGAGGAGGAGGACGCTGCCACCAAGGCCCTCCTCCTCCTTGCCACCTCTGCTGCTCCCTGCCTTAGAGATCCATTTCTCGCCAGGAGGGAACGGGGAGCAGCTCTAGTGTTTGCTCGCTGCTCCCACAAAACAGCGAGTCTGCAATAAGCGAACCACAAATTAGCGAGGGAACACTGTACTCTGTTTATTATTATTATTATTATTATTACATTTACATTATTTTTCTCTATTATTTTATTACATTTATTATTTTTATTACATTTATTGTTTTACTCTATTTTTGTTATTACATTTATTATTTTTCTCTATTTATTATTGTTATTATTACATTTATTTTACTGTAGTATTATTATTACATTTATTGTTTTACTCAATTTATTATTGTTATTACATTTATTATTTTACTCTTATTTTTATTATTACATTTATTATTTTACTCTATTAGATTACATTTATTATTTTACCCTTATTTATTATTATTACATTTATTGTTTTACTCTATTGTTATTACATTTATTATTTTACTCTCCTATTATTACACTTATTATTTTTTCTATTTATTATTGTTATTATTACATTTATTTTACTCTACTGTTATTATATTTATTATTTGACTCAATTTATTATTGTTATTACATTTATTATTTTGCTCTTATTTATATTATTACATTTATTATTTTAATAATAGTAATAATAATCTTTATTTATACCCCGCCACCATCTCACTGAAGGGGACTCGGGGCGGCTAACATGAGGCCAAGCCCAAAGATACAATACAGCAAAATAAAATACAAAATGCAGACAACAAAAATTGCATCAGAATAAAATACATATAGTAGCAAAATAAAATACAATAAAATAAAGCAAATTGACATAATATATTTTACTCTATTTATTGTTATTACATTTATTATTTTACTCTTATTATTATTACATGAAGTCACGAGTCGGAAACGACTGAACGAATGAACAACAACAATATTACATTTATTGTTTTACCCTATTGTTGTTATTACATTTATTATTTTACTCTCCTATTATTATTTATTATTTTTCTCTATTTATTATTGTTATTATTACATTTATTTTACTCTACTGTTATTATTACATTTATTGTCTTACTCAATTTATTATTGTTATAATATTTATTGTTTTACTCTCCTATTATTACATTTATTATTTTTCTCTATTTATTATTGTTATTATTACATTTATTTTACTCCACTGTTATTATTACATTTATTGTTTTACTCAGTTTATTATTGTTATAACATTTATTATTTTACTCTCCTATTATTACATTTATTATTTTTCTCTATTTATTATTGTTGTTATTACATTTATTGTTTTACTCAATTTATTATTGTTATAACATATTATTATTATTATTATTATTATTATTATTATTATAACTTTATTTGTACCCCGCTAGAATCTCCCGAAGGACTCGATGCGGCTTACACAGGCCAAGGCCTCAAAACACAATACAACAATACAATACATAAATACATTTATTATTTTACTCTCCTATTATCACATTTATTATTTTTCTCTATTTATTATGGTTATTATTACATTTATTTTACTCTACTGTTATTATTACATTTATTGTTTTACTCAATTTATTATTGTTATAACATTTATTATTTTGCTTTTATTTTTATTATTATAGTTATTATTTTACTCTAGTTATTATTATTATTACATTTATTATTTTACTCTATTTTTATTATTACTTTTATCAAATATTTAGGAGTGGTCACATGCTGACGCACCAAAAAACAAAGCCATTTGTTTGCACAGAACAAGGTTGCAATAAGAGTTACTCCGACCACCGGTCTCTTCGTCGGCATTATGAAATGCACCATGGTTTGAAGTTGTTAAAGGATGATGAGATTATCGAAGGCTCCCCTTCTCCACGTGAACCACGTGCCCAGGTGGGGCCCAGCGGCATGAGGAGTGCAGAGAAGCAGGCTGTTGTCCACCCCGAACCTCAAGCCCCGAATGAGTTCCTCTTGGCCAACAGAGACCTCCTCAAGTGTATTGTCAGTAACTTTGTGGGCCAGAAGTTTCCACCTGCAGCTTCACCCTCGGTGGGACAGAACGAACAAAATCCCAGAAGTTCCTTGCAACCTTGCACCTCTCTTTGTGGCCAGATTTCTTGTGTCCCCACAAGTTCTGAAACTGTTGGAGATAAAGACATGAAGGAGCTTTATTCTTCTCAAAAGAATACAGCTTCTTCCAGTGTATATACCATCATAAATCCTGCAAGTTTATCCGTACTTGGACCAACCGAGAACATAACAAATGTACAAGATGGGCAACCACCTCCAGAACCTCACTTACCTTTAGAAACCACTCCTGCGGAGTATTGGTCAAACAGTGGCATCCCTGGTTTCTCGTTACTCCGAGGCCAAAAGATCCCTGCTACTCCTCTCCAGCCAAGTGGCAGCTTCCAGTTGGTTAGAAGTGTGCCGCCAGCCTCCACCAAAAGCAAAGGGAGTGGTGTCTATGTCACCCAGGTGTCACCCACTTCAAGTCAAGATGTTTTACAAGGAGTTGGGGGTCCTTCCCCTGCTTTGGATTCTTCGTCTCATAACGTTGATCATCCTGGTGTTTTGTCGTTCACGCCCCTCTTAAATACGCAAGAGGAAGTACCCAGAGAGCCCAAATTCAGTGGCTTTGAAGAGACTTTCACGCCGGTAACAAGGCTTCCTGATGCTCTGCAGCGCAACGTCCTGCAGAAGAGCGAAACAGGCCCAGTCTTTAGGCAGCTATTTGTCAAATCCCAAGGATCTTCTGCGAACCAGGACCAGATACAAGTCCAGAGCCACCTCTTCCAGAGGTTCACCAAATCTCAGCACATTGTGTCTCACGCCCAGATTTCCGCTTCCTCGCAACTAATAGCTGGGGAGCCGGAGCCGGTTGCGGCGAAACCGCTGCAAGGCATGTTTCAGCAGCAGGCTGGGATGCTTAACCCGATTCCAGAACCGACAAAAAGAGAGATGTCTCCTTTATGTGTGAAGAAGGCCCCAGGGCCATTTCAGAAGGACCTCTCCTCTGAAAATGGAAAAGAAGGGCCTCGGTCTGCAACTCTTCTGCAGCCCTGTCAGTCATTCCCTGTACCTTCTCTGAGTTCAGACGGTATTCCTCATGTAACGCAAGCCAGAACCTTGAAAACAGGATGCTTGGGATTCAAAGATTTCTCCAGCTCCAGCCAATCGGTGATGTATGAAACCGCCCCAGGAAACCACACTTATGGGAAGCTGAGCCACCTAGAGAATAGCTCTCCCGGAGCAAAGAAGAAAGAGAAGAGCAAGGCTGGCTCCAAACAATCAGGTGGCAAAGGGCCTTCTCGAGGGGGCCGACCCCGTCGGAAAGAGAAGCCAAAGCTTGATCTGTCTTCCATCGTGTCTCCTAGTGAAGTGGCCATGGCGTCTTTTTCCATGCCCAGCACCTCATTCGATGGTTTGGCCAGAGAGAAGTCAAAGCTGCCCATTTTCAACAGAATTCAGGTACATACAAATAATTATTTTTTATTTTTATTGCATTTATTATTTTACTCTATTATTATTGGAAGGATATCCAATACATTTTTATTTATATAGATTTACATTATTTTACTCTATTATTATTTTATTACATTTATTATTTTACTCTATTATTAAGGGATTTATTATTTTTCCCTATTGTTATTACATTTATTATATTACTATATTATTAAATGTAATAACAATAGGGAAAAATAATAAATCCCATAATAATAGAGTAAAATAATAAATGTAATAAAATAATAGAGTAAAATAATGTAAATAATAATGTAAATAATAATAATGTAGTATTACATTTATTATATTACTATATTATTAGGAGCCCCCGGTGGTGCAGTGGGTTGAACCCTTGTGCTGGCAGGACTGAAGACCGACAGGTCGCAGGTTCGAATCCGGGGAGAGGGGGATGAGCTCCCTCTATCAGCTCCAGCTCCTCATGTGGGGACATGAGAGAAGCCTCCCACAAGGATGATAAAAACATCAAAATCATCCAGGCGTCCCCTGGGCAACGTCCTTGCAGACGGCCAATTCTCTCACACCAGAAGCGACTTGCAGTTTCTCAAGTCACTCCTGACACTACAAAAAAACCCAACTATATTATTATTATTATTAAATTTACATTATTTTATTCTATTATTATTTTATTACATTTATTATTTTACTCTATTGTTATGAGATTTATTATTTTTCCCTATTGTTATTACATTTATTATAGTACTCTATTATTATTGATATTATTATTATTACATTTACATTATTTTACTCTATTATTATTTTATTTCATTTATTATTTTACTCTGTTATTATGAGATTTATTATTTTCCCCTATTGTTGTTATTACAATTATTATATTACTCTATTATTATTATTATTATTATTATTATTATTACATTTACATTATCTTACTCTATTATTATTTATTACATTTATTATTTTACTCTTTTATTATGAGATTTATTATTTTTCCCTATTGTTGTTATATTACTCTATTATTATTACATTTACAGTATGTCACTCTATTATTTTTATTGCATTTATTATTTTACTCTATTATAATTGGAAGGATATCAAAGCACATTTACATTGAAGAAGGTTAGAGTAATGGTTTAATCAGAGTGGACGGTCCTATCTTAAATTACAGTTTTATGTAAATATTCAGAAACATTGAACCTACAGATGCCTCAATTAATGTAATTTTATTGGTATCTATTTTTATTTTGAAATTCACCAGTAGCTGCTGCATTTCCCACCCTCGGCTTATGCTCGAGTCAATACGTTTTCCCAATTTTTTGAGGTGAAATTAAGTATCTCGGCTTATATTCCAGTCGTCTTATACTCAGTAATTCATCAGCTATAGAAGTCACCTGTCTGGAAAAAGTATGAAAGGCTCATGCCATTTGTCAAGATTTTTGTGGGCTTCCGAAGAATTCAGAGCTTATTTTGGAGAAGAAAAGTTTTATTTTGTGAAAAATTAAGTGCATGTACCTTTTCTCCCCTCCAACACAGGGTGGAAATATCTACAGTTTTACTAATTCAGTCAGGGAAGAACACATTTCCCCTGGATGGTAAGTGAGTAAGGAATTGTTGTTTTTTTAACAGTACTTAAAATAGATGGAGCATGCATTTTTATTTGCTAGGAATCCATTTACGCAGTGGCAACGAGAGTCAAGAGTTGTATACATTTGGAGTTTATGTTTCTTCATTCGGTTAGGCGTTTGCTAGGATCGATGCTTGTCACTGGAATAATTGGTGCAGTAAAAGGCATTGCCTTGTTTATATTGCTGTGCTATTTGGCACAAAATATGGAGATTGTTGTGTTTAGATTTGGGGTCAAAATGATATCTTTTAACACACACACACACCCCAAAAAACCTCTGATAATCCCTAGCACTTCCTTGATAAAATCGAAAGAGCAAAATCATAACAAGGCAGCTGTTTGGCCCTCCAAATCGCACCTTTTAGTCCTCCAGACATTGTAAGTATCTCAAATTTCTGGATTGTTTTGTCGATGTTTATTGTTTCCAAATGCTGGCTGAGATCTTTTGGCACGGCACCCAGTACGCCAATGACCACTGGGACCACCTGGGCTGGTTGATGCCAGAGCCTTTGCAGTTCAATTTTGAGGTCTTGATAGCGGCTGAGTTTTTCCTGTTGCTTTTCCTCAATGCGACTGTCACCTGGAATGGCGACATCAATAATCCAGACTTTTTTCTTTTCCACAATTGTGATGTCTGGTGTATTGTGTTCCAAAACTTTGTCAGTCTGGATTCGAAAGCCCCACAGTATTTTTGCATGTTCATTTTCCACGACCTTTGCGGGTTTATGATCTCACCAATTCTTTACTGCTGGCAGGTGGTCCTTGTGACATAAGTCCAGTGAATCATCTGGGCCACAGAGTTGTGTCTTTGTTTGTAGTCCGCCTGTGCGATTTTCTTGCAACAGCTGAGGAGATGGTCCATGCATAGAAACCATGCATCAGCTTCCTTATTATTATTATTATTATTATTATTATTATTATTATTATGCCTGCAATAGATGTGGGTGACACATCAGGAGAGAATGCTTCTGGAACATGGCCAGACAGCCTGGAAAATTCACAGCAACCCAGCGATTCCAGGCATGACAACACATATGAGGTTGGGTTGTTATAGGTTTTTCGAGCTATATGGCCATCGCATCGCAATGCTTGCCATAGAAGCGGGCGAAACGTCAGGAGAGAATGCTTCTAGAACATGGCCATATAGCCTGAAAAACCTACAACCCAGTGATTCCAGCCATGGAAAGCCTTTGACAACACATACGAGGTTGCTGTTTGCAAATGCTAGCGAAAGCTGAGTTGGAGGACTATCCCTCCGCCTTTTAACATACTTAATAATACATATACAGAGAGAGCTTTAGAGCTGTCTGAGAAAAAGGCAAAGCAACATATCTAGAGAGTGCCAGAAGTGGTTTGTGATATGGTACACGGCTGAAGCTGTTCGAATAATGTAAGTACAAGTGTTCAATTGGGCTGGCGGGTGCCCCCGAGTCACACTTTGGCTTCCAGCCATGGCCTCTTCTATGAGGCATCCCTTTGGGCTTTTCTTCTGTAGTTAAAAACAGTTTGCAGGTAAACGAACTGCAGAAATTCATTTCCAGAGAGATACAAAAATGCACCCTCCAGCTGAAAACATAAATGCGCATAGAATACAGGTATAGTGTAAAACAGAAATTCAGAAATTCATAATGTAATGTTCAACTTTTGCCATCAGTAGTAAGACTGCAGACAGGAGTGAGCACGGAAACAGCTTTGTTTGCAAGACCTGCAACCAGCTTTTTTATACAGAGAGAGGCCTGAGCAGTCATATGTGTTTCTATAGTGACCAATGGCAGTCTCCATCAGGGAAGCGAAAACAGCAGGTAAAATAGAAATCAGACTCTGGTAAACGAACAATTGTTATTTCGATGCTTATTAATGTATAGCTTGTACAACAAGGGAATGTGATTGCATAATACAATGTGGCGCCATGTCAAGTTGGTTTTGATAAGGGAAACCTTGTTTGAATCTGTTGCAAGGCACATTCCCAAGATGACCAAATTGAGGCTGTTGTACTTTGGATATATCATGAGATGAGGTGATTTCCTGGAAAAGGTGATAATGATTGGTGAGAAACTGCAAGTCACTTCTGGTGTGAGAGAATTGGCCATCTGCAAGCACATTGCCCAGGGGACGCCCGGACGTTTTGATGTTTTACAATCCTTTGTGGGAGGCTTCTCTCATGTCCCCGCAAAGGGAGCTAGAGCTGACAGAGGGAGCTCATCCGCGCTCTCCCCGGATTCAAACCTCCGACCTGTCGATCTTCAATCCTGCCGGCACAAGGGTTTAACCCATTGCATCACCGGGAGGTCCTATTTCTCACTTATGAACCTATTTAGGGTTTTGGGTTTTTTTTGCATCCTTAGGGTCACCATAAATTGAAGTTGGATTGATGGCAAATAATAAGATGGCTTACCCCTCCTTATAAAGAAACAGTGCAGATTGTGCCCTGGCTTTCTCTTACCTATGATAAAGACAACTGCCATGTGTGCTTTCCTCCAGTTCACAGAGATTGTACACCTAACTACACTTAATTCACTCTAACCATATATACTTGAGTATAAGCTGAGTTTTTCAGCCCTTTTTTAAGGATGAAAAAGCCCTTCTCTCTTATACTTGAATCAAAGTTATTTATTATTTTACTCTTATTATTACATTTATTTTTACTTTATTTATTATTATTATTAAAGTTATTATTTTACTATTTATTATTGTTCTTATTACAGTTATTTTATTCAATTTGTTGTTATTATTACATTTATTATTTTACTCTATTTATTATTGTTATTACATCTATTATTTTACTTTATTATTATTATATTTATTATTTTACTCTATTTATTGTTATTATTACATTTGTTTTTTACTCTATTATTATTGTATTTCTTATTTTACTCTATTTCTTATTGTTATTATTACATTTATTATTTTACTCTTTAATATTATTACATTTATTATTTTACTCTAGTGTTATTACATTTGTTTTACTCTATTGTTATTGCATTTCTTATTTTACTCTATTATTGTTATTATTACATTTATTATTTTACTCTTCATTATATTACATTTATTATTTTACTCTATTGTTTTTACATTTATTATTTTACTCTATTATTGTTATTATTACATTTATTATTTTACTCTGTTATTGTTATTATTGCATTTCTTATTTTACTCTGTTATTGTTATTATTACATTTATTATTTTACTCTATTATTGGATGTATTATTTTACCCAATTATTATTACACTTATTTTTACTTTATTTATTATTATTCTTATTACATTTATTTTATTCTATTTGTTGTTATTATTACATTTCTTATTTCAGTCTATTATTATTACATATACTATTTTACTCTATTATTGCATTTATTATTTTACTCTATTGTTATTATTACATTTATTATTTTGTTCCCTTTATTATTATTGGTAGGATACATAAGCACATTTCCATTGAAGAAAGTTAGAATAATGTTTTAATCAGAGTTGGACAGTCTTAATCTTAAATTACAGTTTTATGTAAATATTCAAAAACTTTTAACCAACTGATGCATCAATTAATGTAATTTTATTGGTATCTATTTTTATTTTGAAATTTATCAGTAGCTGTTGCATTTCCCAAACTCAGTTTATACTGTACTTGAGTCAATATGTTTTCCCAGTTTTCTCAGTATCTTTTCATTTAAGATACTGTAAATACGTAATTAAATGCGTAATTAATAAAAATTATTTTAAAAACCCCATCCCACATAATTCTAGAGGTTCCTGTCCTTACTACGTATTATACTTATTATAATTAATTTAAGATACTGTAAATACGTAATTAAATACGTAATAAATAAAAAATATTTAAAAACCCTACCCCACATAATTCTTGAGGTTCCTGTCCCTACTACGCATTATACTTATTATAATTAATTATAATTAATTAGGTACTTATTATACCTGTCCTGTGTCTAGATTTCATGGTTTGGTTTGTGGTGGAGAGGCACACTTTTTCATGCGATACTGTTTTTGAAAAACATAATAAATTGGTATTATTTCTCTCAAGTGCTTTGGAAGAGGCAGAGATCAATGTTAGATAGGGTAAAATAATTAGTGTCAATATAGTATAATTGTTAGAATGCACAATTTTACAGCTATGTGTATATTCCTTCTTGTTTAAGGCATCAGAGGCAGAAAACGTTCAAGCTCAAAAACTGTCCTTGGAGGCAGCAAGAGATGGAGACACTCCTCCAGAAATCAAGAGACCTTCAGAAGATGTAGGAATCACACCTTTTGTCCTTCCTGTCTCCGTTCCTGTCACAACAGCCAATCAGCAGCAAGAGGGCAAAGTGGGTGGCAATTTCTGTTATTATTATACTCCAGATGTATAGGAAGATATATGAAATGCTCAGGATATTGGGAGTTCATATTTAGCTGTATAGTGTGAGTAATTAATCTGTGCAAGTTGTACAAGTGCCTTTATTGTCCTTGTTTGCCTCACATGTATATGTTGTTGTTCATTCGTTCAGTCGTCTCCGACTCTTCGTGACCTCATGGACCAGCCCACGCCAGAGCTCCCTGTCGGCCGTTACCACCCCCAGCTCCCTCAAGGTCAGTCCAGTCACTTCAAGGATGCCATCCATCCATCTTGCCCTTGGTCGGCCCCTCTTCCTTTTGCCTTCCACTTTCCCCAGCATAATTGTCTTCTCTAGGCTTTCCTGTCTCCTCATGATGTGGCCAAAGTAATTCAACTTTGTCTCTAGTATCTTTCCCTCCAGTGAGCAGTCGGGCTTTATTTCCTGGAGGATGGACTGGTTGGATCTTCTCGCAGTCCAAGGCACTCTCAGAACTTTCCTCCAACACCACAGCTCAAAAGCATCGATCTTCCTTCGCTCAGCCTTCCCTAAGGTCCAGCCCTCACATCCGTAGGTTACTACAGGGAATACCATGGCTTTGACTAGGCGGATCTTTGTTGCCAGTCTGATGTCTCTACTCTTCACTATTTTATCGAGACTGGACATTGTTCTCCTCCCAAGAAGTAAGCGTCTTCTGATTTCCTGGCCACAGTCTGCATCTGCAGTAATCTTTGCACCTAGAAATACAAAGTCTGTCACGGCCTCCACGGTTTCTCCCTCTATTTTCCAGTTGTCAATCATTCTTGTTGCCATAATCTTGGTTTTTTTGATGTTTAGCTGCAACCCGGCTTTTGCGCTTTCTTCTTTCGCCTTGATTAGAAGGCTCCTCAGCTCCTCCTCGCTTTCGGCCATCAGAGTGGTGTCATCTGCATATCTGAGGTTGTTAATGTTTCTTCCAGCAATTTTCACCCCAGCTTTGCATTCATCCAGCCCCGCATATCGCATGATGTGTTCTGCATACAAGTTAAAAAGGTTGGGTGAGAGTATGCAGCCTTGCCGTACGCCTTTCCCAATCTTGAACCAGTCTGTTGTTCCATGGTCAGTTCTTACTGTTGCTACTTGGTCCTTGTACAGATTCCTCAGGAGAGAGACAAGGTGGCTTGGTATGCCCATCCCACCAAGAACTTGCCACAATTTATTATGATCCACACAGTCAAAGGCTTTAGAATAGTCAATGAAGCAGTAGATGTTTTTCTGAAACTCCCTGCCTTTCTCCATTATCCAGCGGATATTGGCAATCTGGTCTCTCGTTCCTCTGCCTTTTCTAAACCCAGCTTGACCATCTGGCAACTCTCGCTCCATGTATTGCTGGAGTCTTCCTTGCAGGGATCTTGAGCATTACCTTACTGGCATGTGAAATAAGGGCCACTGTACTGAAGTTTGAGCAGTCTTTCGCATTTCCCTTTTTTGGTATGGGGATATAAGTTGATTTTTTCCAGTCTGATGGCCATTCTTGTTTTTTCCATATTTGCTGGCATATGGCATGCATCACCTTGACAGCATCATCTTTCAAGATTTTAAACAGTTCAGCTGGGATCCCGTCGTCTCCTGCTGCCTTGTTGTTAGCAATGCTTCTTAAGGCCCATTCAACCTCACTCCTCAGGATGTCTGGTTCTAATTCATTCACCACACCGTCAAAACTATCCTCGATATTATTATCCTTCCTATACAGATCTTCTGTATAGTCTCGCCACCTTCTCTTGATCTCTTCAGCTTCTGTTAGGTCCCTGCCATCTTTGTTTCTTATCATACCAATTTTTGCCTGAAATTTACCTCCAATGTTTCTAATTTTCTGGAAGAGGTCTCTTGTCCTTCCTATTCTGTTGTCTTCTTCCCCTTCCATGCATTGCTTATTTAAAAATAGTTCCTTATCTCTTCTGGCTAACCTCTGGAATTGCGCATTTAACTGGGCATATCTCCCCTTCACTGTTTCCTTTTGCTTTCCTCCTTTCTTGGGCTACTTCCAGTGTCTCAGCAGACAACCATTTTGCCTTCTTGGTTTTCTTTTTCTTTGGAACGTACTTTGTTGCCTCCTCCTGAACAATGTCGCGGACTTCTGTCCATAGTTCTTCTGGGACTCTGTTTACTAAATCTAGTCCTTCAAATCTGTTCTTCACTTCCACTGTATATTCGCTAGGAATGTTAGTGAGATCATATCTAACTGGTCTGTGTAGTTTCCCTGATCTCTTTAGTTTTATTCTAAATTGGGCAATAAGAAGTTCGTGATCTGAGCTACAGTCAGCCCCAGGTCTTGTTTTCACCGACTGGATGGATGTCCGCCACCTTTGGCTGCAAAGGATGTAGTCAATCTGATTTCGGTGTTGACCATCTGGTGAGGTCCATGTATAAAGCCGTCTTTTAGGTTGTTGGAATAGAGTATTCGTTATACACAGCGAGTTTTCCTGGCAAAATTCTATCAGCCTGCGTCCCGCTTCATTTTGTTCTCCCAGACCATGCTTGCCTGTGATCCCAGTTGTCATTTGACTTCCCACCTTGGCATTCCAGTCTCCTGTAATGAAAATAATGTCTCTTTTTGTGTATTATCCAGTAGGTCCTGCAGATCCTCATAGAACTGATCTACTTCTGCTTCTTCAGCAGCTGTGGTTGGGGCATATATTTGGATCACTGTAATGTTGAAAGGCTTTCCTTGCACTCGAATTGAGATCATTCTGTCATTTTTTGGGTTGTATCCAAGCACCGCTTTAGCGAATTTCTTATTAATTATGAAGGCTACTCCATTTCTTTGATGTTCCTCTTGTCCGCAGTAGTAGATCTGGTGGCCATCTGATGTGAAGTGGCCCATTCCAGTCCATTTCAGTTCGCTGACCCCCAGAATGTCTATCTTTAGTCTTGACATCTCACCAATAACAACATCCAATTTGCCCTGGCTCATAGATCTTACATTCCAGGTTCCTATGGTGTGTTGATCTTTAGAGCATCGGATTCGTCGTTCACCTCCAGTACCGTCGGCCGCTAGCCTTCCTTTCGGCTTTGAGCTAGCTGCGTCATCACATCTGGGGCTAGTTGAACTTATCCTCTGCTCCTCCCCAGTAGCATTTTGGCCATCTTCCGACCTGGGAGTCCCATCTTCCAATGGCATACCGACATATCTCTGGTTGTACTTGTCCATTTAGTTTTCTTGGCAAGGATACTGGAGTGGTTTGCCATTGCCTTCCCCAGGGATCACGCTTGGTCTGACCTCTCTGCCACAACCGTCCCGTCTTGGGTGGCCCTTCACGGTTTCGCTCATGACATCATTGAGGTGCTCAAGCTCCAGCGCCCCGACAAGGCGGTGATCCTTTGCTGGAGCATTGTAGTATTAGGCATAGTATAAACTTTGGGAACAGTTGCATTTGGAAGTTTGGTGGATGTGCAGCATAAATACAGTGTTTCTCTGCTTTTATAATGCCGTCACCCCTTAATACAGTTCCTCATGTTGTGGTGACCCCCAACCATAACATTATTTTCGTTGCTACTTCACAACTGTAATTTTGCTACTGTTATGAATCGTAATGTAAATATCTAATATGCAGGATGTATTTTCATTCACTGGACCAAATTTGGCACACATACGCAAAATACTGGGGGGGGGGGTGTATTGCTTTTATCATTTGGGAGTTGTAGTTGCTGGGATTTATAGTTCACCTACAATCAAAGAGCATTCTGAACTCCACCACTGATGGAATTGAACCTCACACAGAACTCCCATGATGAACAGAAAATACTGGAAGGGTTTGGTGGGCATTGACCTTGAGTTTTGGAGTTGTAGTTCGCCTACATCCAGAGAGCACTGTGGACTCAAATAATGATGGATCTGGACCAAACTTGGCACAAATACTCAATATGCCCAAATTTGAACCTTGGAGGAGTTTCAGAAAAATAGACTTTGACATTTGGGAGTTGTGGTTTCTTGGATTTATCGCTCACCTACAATCAAAGAGCATTCCGAACTCCACCAATGATGGAATTAACCAAACTGGGCACCCAGAACTCCCCCGACCAAAAGAAAAAAACTGGAAGGGTTTGGTGGGCATTGAGTTTTGGAGTTGTAGTTCACCTACAAGCAGAGAGCACAATGATGGATCTGGACCAAACTTGACACGATAGGCCCAAATGTGTATTCTGGTGGGGTTGCGGGGAGGGTGATTTTGTCATTTGGGAGTTTCAGGTGCTGGGATTTATAGTTCACCTATAATCCAAGAGCATTCCAAACTCCACCAACAAGGGAATTGAACCAAACTTTGCACACAGAACTCCCATGAGCAACAGAAAATAATGAAAGGTTTTGGTGTGCATTGACCTTGACTTTTGGAGTTGTAGTTCACCTACATCCAGAGAGCACAATGATGGATCTGGACCAAACTTGGCATGAATACTCCATATGCCTAAATTTGAACCCTGGAGGAGTTTCAGAAAATTAGACCTTGACATTTGGGAGTTGTAGTTGCTGGGATTTATCGCTCACCTACAATCAAAGAGCATTCCGAACTCCACCAACAATGGAATTGAACCAAACTTGGCACACAGAACTCCCTCAACCAAAACAAAAAAACTGGAAGGGTTTGGTGGGCATTGACCTTGAGTTTTGGAGTTGTAGTTCACCTACATCCAGAGAGCACTATTTATTTATTTATTTATTTATTTATTTACATTATTTCTATCCCGCCCATATCAGCCCGAAGGGTTGTGGGTGGGTGGGGTGTGTGTGTGTGTGTGATTTTGTCATTTGGGACTTGTAGTTGCTGGGATTTATAGTTCACCTATAAGCCAAGAACATTCTGAACTCCACCAATGATGGAAATGAACCAAACTTGGCACACTGAACTCCCATAACCAACAGAAAATACTGGGAGGGTTTGGTGGGCATTGACCTTGAGTTTTGGAGTTGTAGTTCACCTACATCCAGAGAGCACTGTGGACTCAAATAATGATGGATCTGGACCAAACTTGGCACAAATACTCAATATTCCCGAATGTTTACACTGGTGGAGTTTGGGGAAAATAGACCTTGACATTTGGGAGTTGTAGTTGCTGGGATTTAACGTTCACCTACAATCAAAGAGCACTCTGAACCCCACCAATGAGAGAATTGGTCCAAACTTCCCACACAGAACCCCTATGACCAACAGAAATTTCTGATGGTCTTCGGCAACCCCTCTGACACCCCCTCACAACCGCTCCAGGGGTCCCGACCCCAGGTTGAGAAACATTGCTCTAAAACTCTTTACAAGCCATGACTTTATTGTAAATCAGAGTGAAAGCCATACAGCCCTCCAGATAATGCTGAACTGCAGGGCAGTGATGTCATAATCCTGTCAGCCTGATGGGTCGTAGGGAGGGAGAAAACCCAAGTCCTCTGAGGTACAGCTGAAAGAACTTGGGTATGTTTAGTCTGAAGAAGAGAGAGGGATTTGTAATATCTACTTTTCAAAAACCTGAAGGGCCATCAAATAGAAAGATGAAGCAGGCAAACAGTAGTTGTAGAACAATAGGTGGACATTTCAAGGAATGGAGTTTCACATCAACATTAGGAGAAACTTCTGAAGAAGGGATCTGTTCTGCAAGGGCCTTGCAGGAACTACAACTCCAAAACCAAAGGACACTGCCCACCAAATCCTTCCAGTATTTTCTGTTGTTCATGGGAGAACTGTGTGCCAAGTTTGGTTCAATTCCATTGTTGGTGGTGTTCAGAATGCTCTTTGATTGTAGGTAAACTATAAATCCCAGCAACTACAACTTCTAAATAACAAAGTGAAGGACATACATTGGGTTGTTAGGTGTTCTTGTGTCCAAATTTGGTGTCAATTTGTCTAGTGGTTTTTGAGTTATGCTAATCCCACAAACGAACATTACATTTTTCTTTATATAGATTAGTTTTTCAATGGGAAATGTGGACCTGCTTTTGGCTGATGAGATAGGATTGTTGTTGTTGTTGTTGTGTGCTTTCAAGTTGTTTCAGGCTTAGGTTGACCCTGAGCGAGGGCTGGGTAAATGATCTTGGAGGGCCATATCTGGCCCTCGGGCCTTAGTTTGAGGACCCCTGTAGTTGCAAGATCTCTGCACTGTGGAAGGTGTTGAAGTAGTGTCCCAGTTCTGTCATTCTTGGTAGCCTCTCAGGTGAGAACCATCCTTGAGGATTGGGCACACCAGGCAGGTCGCACTGATTTTCATTTTCCCAGCTTAGCAGTTTTAAGGCCCCACAAGCTGTGTCTGTCTTCTCAGGTTGGCGAGAAGGAAAGCCAGGATGAGAGGGATCTCCAGGAAGGCATGCCTCCAAAGAAGAAGAAGAGACGGACCTGTCCAAAGTCACTTTTCATCCCCCCACCACCGCCACCGCCACCACCACCACCACCACCTCCTCCAGTCTGCAGTGACAATCAGCCTGGCCCTAGTGGATTCTACCAGAGTAATCTTCGCTCCCCTGTCTTCCTCATGGATTACTTTCTGCAGGGCTTAATCCAGTGCTCACCGTATACACCTCCACCAATGCTCAGCCCAATCCGAGAGGGTTCAGGGTTGTATTTCAACACTCTTTGGTCCGCCTCAGCAAACACTGCCCCACCCAAGTTGTACTGTCCAGCTTTTGGTAAGTAAAATAACCACCTTATGCGAAACCGTCTTTGTTTTGAGCTAGGTTATGAATCCATTTGGTGTTAAGTGGTCTATTCTGACTTGCAGTGCCTCTTCTAGGATTTGTGAAGATAGAGATATTTCACCATTCTATGTCTTTTTTGTTATATATATTTTTATTAAGGGTAAGGGAAAGGGGAGGAAAAGAATAGTATTTTGTTTTTACATTTAAAGTGGTGGAACAATAATATGAGGAGAAAGTAGGAAGTAATAGAAGAGAAAAAATATTTTAAAAAAGAGAAAAAGAGTAAAAAAAATGAAAAAATGAAAAAAAAGTCCTGGTGACTTTCATCTAAACCAGCCAGCTTCTTCCAACCTAGCATTTTGAAAACATGCAAATGTGAGTAGAGCAATAGGTACCGTTCCATTGGGAAGGTAACGGTGCTCCATGCAGTCATGCTGGCCACATTACCTTGGAAGTGTCTACGGTCAAAGCTGGCTCTTCAGCTTAGAAATGGAGATGAGCACCAACACCCAGAGTCGTACATGATTAGTCTTAATGTCAGGGGAAAACCTTTACCTTTACTTCCCGGGGGGTTCTGCATATTTGTGATGTTGTGTTGGCTGTTTATTTTCTATGTTTTGTTTTGTACTTGTTGTATTTTGCATTCACCACCTTGAGTGACCTGTGAGCCGTCCCGAGTCCCCCTGGGAGATGGTGGTGGGATAGAAATAAATTATTATTATTATTATTATTATTATTATTATTATTATTATTATTATTATTATAAACACAACAAGATGAATCCACAGCAGACTCTCTGCTGGCTGTTATATTGGATCACACGTCAGACACTTCCCAAGTGTCTAGGACTGTGTGATGTATTGGCGAATAATGCGTGCAGATGCCAGCAGGGTGGCCTTCTGCAGCTGGCAGATGGTAATTTTGTCAACGCCRATTGGTTTTAAGTGCAGGCCAAGGTCTTTAGGCACTGCACCCAGTGGGCGGATCACCACTGGGACCACCTTGACTGGCTTGTGCCAGAGTCTTTGCAGTTTGATCTTTAAATCCTCATATCGTGTCAGCTTTTCCAGTTGTTTTTCTTCAATCCTGCTGTCACCTGGAATTGCAACATCGACAATCCATACTTTGGGTTGTTGTAGGTTTTTTCGGGCTATATGGCCATGGTCTAGAGGGAATCCATACTTCGTTACACRATCATGAGGTCAGGAGTCTTGTGCTCCAAAACTCTGTCTGTCTGAATCCGGAAGTCCCAGAATAGTTTGATGTGTTCATTCTCTGTAACTTTTTCAGGTGGTATTTGTGGCACAAGTTCCAATGAATCATCTGAGCAATGGTGTTGTGCCTCTGCTTGTAGTCTGTGCGCACGATCTTCTTGCAGCAGCTGAGGATATGATCTATTGTTTCATCTGCTTCCTTGCAGAATCTATATTTGGGATCTGTCATCGACTTTTCAATTCTGGCTTTGATGGCATTTGTTCTAATGGCTTGTTCTTTGGCTGCCAGAATCAGCCCCTCCTTTGTCTCCTTTGTGAGCCACAGCCATGTTTTTTCTTTGTCAATTTGGCTCTCAATTTGGCTCTAATTTTTCCCCAGGAACTGTCCATGGAGAGAGAGCCTTCTTTTGCCAGTTTTCTCTTCTGCTCTGGATTGGTTTTTACAGTATTCCCTCTTTGTCTTTTGCACTTTAAGCAGTTTACTACTATTGACTTCCCTCAATGTTGGTTCTTGATTTATTATTATTATTATTATTATTATTATTATTATTATTATTATTTATTACAGCTATATTGAGTACAATATACTGTAGCTGTAGGCCTCCTTATTAATAGTATTGAAAAGATAGTGGAAGCCAAAATGCTCCCATAGTGCTGACCTTTTGCGTGCAGACGGCCAACAGACGGTCAGGAGGAAGAATGGACGGAGGAGGATGTCTTCATTGCATTTCTCTCTTTTGTTTTCGAATCTAGATGGAAGAGATGGCATTTTGTTTGCCTATGTGAACGACCCCACCAAAATCGCCGTAAAACCGTAAGTAAGGGGATGAGAATACTGATTTATTTATCGTGTCAGAAGCGAATTGAGAGTACAGTTAAAATGTATTTAAAACACAAACAAAGTTAAAAAGTTGGCATTATACTAACTGTCCTTTGACCAGAAGCTGTCCACTTGGAGTGCCTCTGGTGTCACTGAGAGAAGGTCTTCCATTTTCACGCTGCATTGTAATAGGTACTCTGTGCTTTGCTTTTCTCCACACTTGCATGTTATGGACTCCACTTTGTGACGGCATTTCTTAAGGTTGGCTCTGCATCTTGTAGTGCCGGAGCGCAGTCTGTTCAGCGCTTTCCAAGTCACCCAGGAGGGAATGCTGGTCGTAACATTTCTGCTCATTTACCACTTTTTCACCTCTGTCCTGGATGTCTAGACTGAAGAAAGATACTGTCTCTTCTGTCCCTCATTTGTAGGTATTCTATCATTTAAAATGTCTTACATCCAAAAGGCCAGAATAAGTAAACAGTTGTTTTAATTCAGGCATCATGCGAAATTTTAGAACACCTGGAGACCTTGCTTTTAAATTTTGTTCTTTGTTTGATGTACGAGGGTTGAATGAAAAGTAATGCCTCCACCTTCGTAACTCCTCAACAGATGGCAGTACTGGTATGCAGCAGGTACTGGCTTGTTCAGTAGACTTTCCTATACAGTTCCATTTTGGCAGAAAACCTTAGCATTGAACAGTTGTGTTGTTGAAGTATGGAACCCTACGCAGATGGTCGGTCAATGTGACTTAAGCAATGTGCAGTCATTGAATTCTTGATAGCAGAAGGTGTCACCCCAAATAAATAATAATAATAATAATAATAATAATAATAATAATAATAATAAACTTTATTTATACCCCACCACCGTTTTCCCAGTGGGGACTTGGAGTGGCTTACATGGGGCCAGGCCCGAACAACAATTACAATAAAGAAAATCAAAACACAACCGAAAATGCAAACAATAAACAACATCATAATTACATAAAATATATGAATACATAACAATATAAGAATTACAATAGACACAGGCACAGAGATTCATCAGAGAATGCAAGCTGTTTATGGTGATTGTGTTGATGTGAGTACTGTGCGTCGTTGGGCGAGTAACTTTAAAGATGTTGAGGTGGGACATCTGACTTGCTTGACAAACAAAGAGTTGGACGTCCTGTGACAGCAACCACGGAGTTTCACAAGCAAAAGGTTGACAGATTGATTCAGGGCGATCGACGTATCACTCAGAGAGAAATTTCAGAAGAACGTGTGGGTCACATTATTGCTTTGCTTGGCTATCGGAAGATCTGTGCATGGTGGGTATCCAGGATGTTGACGCTTGAAATGAAAGTGCACAGACTTGAAACTTCAGAGACTGGGTCTCACCACCGTACGATGTCCTCCATACAGTCCAGATTTAGCACCGTCTGACTTCCATCTGTTTTTGATAATGAAAGAAGATCTGCGGGGACACCATTATGCTTCTGATGAAGACGTTGAGAGAACTGTGAGACGCTGGTTGCGGAAACAGAGTGTCAACTTCTTCCGTGACGGCTTCAGGAAACTTGTTCATCGTTGGTACAAATGTATCCAATTGTCTAGTGGTTATGGAAAAGTGAATAGTGGTAGTTAAAGAGCACATTCTAAAGATTATTTCTGCGTTTGATTTATTAGAATATTCCCATCCAAACCCAAGTAACAAAGGTGGAGGCATTACTTTTCATTCAACCCTCGTAATTTTAAACCTGGCCCTGGTTCACAGAGTTTATCCTTGACTTCTTCTGTCATTCCAGCCACATTAATATTGGAAGTCGGTTTCAGGCAGAAATTCCCGAGCTCCGGGATAGGTCATCAATGGAAAACTATGAGCACCCTGCTTCACTGATGTGGAAACCATGGGGTGATATCACAACCAACATGGAGACACAGAACAAAGGTGGGCTGGTCATTTTATTTCCAAAACCGACATTTCCCCCCATAATCCTCAAGCCCAGAATGTAATCATTGAAACAATCTTTTGCAGTGGCAGACCTATTGAAATTGGCCTGCTCCAGCGCAATGCCAGGAGGTGGGACCAACACAGAGCTAGCTATCCATTGTCTGCATGAAACCCAAGGAAACATTTTGGTGAGATGATGTACATTCACTGTGTCATTGAGAATGTCAGGTCGTTGGGTTGTAAAGTGTTGCACTTCAAACAGGAGTAGCCCTCTGATTTTAAAACACCACACGTTGAGTAGGAAAAACAATCCTTTTTTATTGAAGACTAGCCATCCCCTGCCACACATTGCTGTGGCCCACTCTGGTGGTCATGGGGGTTCTGTGTTGGAGGTTTGGCCCAATTCTATCTTTGGTGGGGTTCAGAATGCTCTGATTGTAGGTGAACTATAAATCCCAGCAACTACAACTCCCAAATATTCTCAGAGGCTTGAAGAGCTATGTCTTCAAATCCCTACAAAAGTAGGACAGTGTGAGGGCCTGCCTGATCTCCCTGGGGAGAGTGCTCCAGAAGCAGGGGGTCACCACTGAGAAGGCCTTCTTCCTCGTCCCCACCAACCGCGCTTGTGACAGTGTCGGGACCGAGAGGAGGGCCTCCCTGGCAGATCTTAGAGCCCGCGTCGGTTCATATGGGGGGGGGGGGATGTGGTCACAAAGATTACTGTTTATTGAAAGTTTCTGAGTTTCTTTCCAACAATTCCCAGGAAGCACTGAAGATGCTGTTACTCAAAGGACCACAGAAGCCACCTTCTCACCCTCTTGCCAACTATCATTACTCAGGTAAAAAGGATTTGCCTAAATTTGATCAAGGCTTAGCCATAGCCTTCCTAAAACCCATAGAACAGTGTTTCTCAACCTGGGGGTCGGGACTCCTGGGGAGGTCACGAGGGGGTTTCAGAGAGGTCACCAAAGACCATCGGAAAACATATATTTCTGATGGTCGTAGGAACCCATTTGGCTGAGAAGGCTGAAGATCTCTCCACCTGTCCTTCTCTTCCTTTTTGGAAACAGATGGTGAATCCTCCCACCAAAAGCCTTCTCTGCTGTGATTGGTTGGGCTCTCAGCCAAGCGGAGGGCTGTTTCTGAGACTCCAAATGGGAAGGGGAGAGCAGGTGTGCTCAGCATATGGCAGCGTGGTGCACATGTGTGGGTGAGGGAAAGCAAGTGAGGTTGGAGGGAGGCTCGTGCCAGCTATTCCCTTCAAGGCATGGGGGTTCTGTGTGGGAAGTTTGGCCCAATTCTATCGTTGGTGGGGTTCAGAAAGTTCTTTGATTGTAAGTGAACTGTAAATCCCAGAAACTACAACTCCCAAATATCAAGGTCTATTTTCCCCAAACTCCACCAGTGTTCACATTTGGGCATATTGAGTATTCATACCAAGTTTGGTCCAGATCCATCATTCTTCTAGTTCTCAAACATATTGATAGACCTATTACTATAATTCCAAAGGAAGTCAGCAGACAAAAACAGGGCAGCAAAGATTTTAATGTTATGAGTATGATAAACCATCAAGCAGATTGTCAGTGCTTAAAATTTGTCTCTTGTTGATACTCCAGGTTCACAATTGTGGACGACAGCGGAGAAGCAGTTGTTTAAGAAGGCTTTTGCCACACACAGAAAGGATTTTAATCTCATACAGAAGAAGGTAAAATACGAGTGGCGAGTTCCTTGCGAAGGAGTTTCTGCTGTTTTCTTATGAGTCCCATAGTGATAACCCCATGAGAGAAGCAAGCCATTTTCCAGACTGTTTCCTGTCACAAACTGAAAGGGTTTTATTTGTTTTATCTGTTCAGAACATTTTATCTGAAAACTTTTCTGTACTGTTTTTAAATACCGTATATACTCAAGTATAGGCCTAGCTTTTCAGCCCTTTTACGCTGAAATGATCCCCCTTGGCTTATACTCGAGTCAAAGTTGTTTATTATTTTATTCTGTTATTATTATTTTATTATTACATTTATTATTTTACTCTTATTATTTTATTACATTTATTATTTTACTCTATTATTAATTTATTATTTTACTCTATTACTACTGTTATTATTACATTTCCATTATTTTACTCTGTTCTTATTTTTATTACATTTATTATTTTACTCTATTTTTACATATATTATTTTATTCTATTATTACTGTTATTATTACATTTCCATTATTTTTCTCTATTATTATTTTTATTACATTTATTATGTTACTGTATTATTATTATTGCATTTATTATTTTACTCTATTATTACTGTTATTATCTTTCCATTATTTTACTATATTATAATTATTTTTATTACATTTATTATTTTACTCTCATTATTATTGGAAAGATACATAAGAAAGTTAGAATACTGGTTTAATCAGAGTTAGACAGTCTTATCTTAAATTACAGGTTTATGTAAATATTCAAAAATATTTATTTATTTACTTACTATTTTTATACCCCGGCTGCTCTCACCCCGAAGGGGGCTCAGAGCAGCTTACAAGTTATATGTATATACAATATATTATATTATTCACATAGAACAATATTAGTATTATATATTATATTGTACTATACCACTATAATGCATATTATTAGTAATACTTGCATGTAATATATAATTTATTATTATATTATATTACTGTTAGTATTAATATTATATTACATTATAATATTATGATCAATGTTATAGGTACATACAATATATTATATTATTAGCATAGCATATTTGTATTATATATTACTATATTATACTGTACCATTATACTACAATATTATTAGTAATATTACATGTCATATATAATATACAATGATTATATTGTATTATTATTATATTGTACTATCCATCCCCTGCCAGTGTTGCTGTGGCCCAGTCTGTGTATATGTGTTAGGTGTGTGTATATATATTTATGTATATGTGTATATATATGTGGTTTTGTGCATGTGTTGTAATGTATTTTTTGTTTTTTGGCTTTTTAAGTGTCTTCTGCTGTGTCACTTGTTGACATTTTTATTTATATAGATTATTTTACAATATTATTATCAATGTTATAGGTATTTTAAATATTCAAAAACATTTAACCGACAGATGCCTCAATTAATGTAATTTTATTGGTATCTGTTTTTATTTTGAAATGTAGCTGTAGCTTCTGCAGTTCCCACCCTCGGCTTATACTCAAATCAATACGTTTTACCAGTTTTTGTTTCAAAATTAGGTGCCTCGTCTTAAGTTAGTTATTCCTTGTATGCTCACTTTGAATATTTATTTTCCCCCTTTTCTCCTTTGATAGATACAAACTAAGACCGTTTCCCAATGTGTTGAATACTACTATAACTGGAAAAAAGTGTTAAAATTTAACTCTGGCCGAGCATACATGGCGGAAAAGAGGAAGAGAGAGCAGGATGAGGTAGAAAAGGATGAAGAAAAGGTAGAGAAAGACAGCTGGGGATGTGGCCAGTGCTTAAAGAATAGATATAAGTTCTCCCCTTTCATATACAATGTTCCTTCTATTTCACATAACTTTGCAAGGATTTTTTTTTTTACTGGTTTGTTGTGTCCTTTGAAATGAATGCTTAGCCACATTTTTTTTGTGTGTCAAAGCGACTTGAGAAACTACAAGTTGCCGGGCCAGATGTAATAGTTAAAATTTTATGTAAATGTATGTTGTTTATATGCAAATCTGTGTTTTATGTATTTTTTTGTGTCTGTCAGGAGCGACTTGAGAAACTCTAAGTTGCTTCTGGTGTGAGAGAATTGGCCGTCTGCAAGGACGTTGCCCAGGGGGCGCTCGGATGTTTTGATGTTTTACCATCCTTGTGGGAGGCTACTCTCTTGTCCCTGCATGGGGAGCTGGAGCTGACAGAGGGAGCTCATCCAATCTCTACCCAGATTCGAACCTCCAACCTGTGTCCTGCCGGCACAAGGGTTTAACCCATTATGCCACTGAGTAGTGAGCCAAGTTTGGTGCAGATCCATTGTGGGCTGAGTTTAGAATGCTCTTTGATTGTAGTTCAACTATAAATCCCACAAATTATAACTCCCAAATGTCAAGGTCTATTTTCCCCAAACTCCACCACATTTGGGCATATTGAGTATTTGTACCAAATTTGGTCTAATCCATAGTTATTTGAGTCCGCGGTGCTCTCTGGATGTAGGTGAACTACAACTCCAAAACTCAAGGCCCACCAGACCCTTCCAGTATTTTCTCTTCATCATGGGAGTTCTGTGTGCCAAGTTTGGTTCGATTCCATCTTTGGTGGAGTTCAGAATGCTCTTTGATTGGAGGTGAACTATAAATCCCAGCAACTACAACTCCCAAATGACAAAATCAATACCCCCAACCCCACTAGTATTCAAATTTGGGCGTTTTGAGTATTTGTGCCAAATTTGGTCCAGTGAATGAAAATACATCCTGCATATCAGATATTTACATTACGATTCATAACAGTAGCAAAATCACAGTTAGGAAGTAGCAATGAAAATAACTTTATGGTTGAGAAGCTGTATTAAGGGGTTGCAGTTTTAGGGTTGAGAACTACTGCCCAATATATATATATATGATTGTTTTTAAGGGTTTTTGGTGCTGTTTTGTGTAAAGTTGTGATGGATATTGTGAATCTTTCTAAGCGCCCTTCCACATAGCCCTATATCCCAGGATATCAAGGCAGAAAATCCCACATTATCTGAGTGTGGACTCAGATAACCCAGTTCAAATCAGATATTGTGGGATTTTCTGCCTTGATATTCTGGGAGTTAGGGTTGTGTGGACGGGCCCTAATTTGTTTGGTTCTTTCTGCATCTTGCCCAGAGAAATTCCTGGATCATCATCGCAGGTGGAGTACATTTAGTTGGAGAATTGGAATGAGTTCAGTGAGTTCGTAAACAAACAAAAGCATTTCATGACTTTGATGAATTTCAGATTATGTGCAGCCCAAAGAAAAGGCACTGCCCGCTGCCTAAGCAGGAGAATAAAGTAAAGGCAAGGAGTTACAAAAAGCCAGCGCAGAGCACCGTCAGCCCAACCTGCAGCCAGAAGGAAACTCTAGATAGGTCCAGAAGCGCAGGCAGTCAGGGTGTGTTCCCATGCAAAGAGTGCGCAAGGTAGTTCAGCTGATTTATTGTGCGTCTTTTGACAAGTCTAGTTTTGTGCATCAGTTTGCCTCTCTTCTTTTTTCCTTGGGGTGGCTCACTGTGACAGTTTGATTAACTCCGTCATAGTTCAACATATTGTCTCTGCTCTGTCTGTCAATAAAGCTTCTCTTTTAAAAAGCTTGAGGAGAAAAGGAAAGACTCTAAGCTGGGATTTTGTATATTTATTTATTTACAGTATTTATATTCTGCTTTTCTCACCCTGCAGGGGACTCAGGGTGGATTACAATGCACATATACATGGCAAACATTCATAAGTCATGCTGAGGATATTATTTTACTCTTGCTAGAGAGTACTGTGGCACAGCTGGCTGGGAGTCAGCTGCATTAAGGTCACTACTGACCGAAAAGTCATGAGTTCAAAGCCAGCCTGAGTCGGAGTGAGCTTCCGACCAATTTGTGTAGCTTGTTGTTGACCTTTGCAGCCCAAAAGACAGTAGGAAATTTAGGTACCACTTATGTGGCTAATTTAACTAATTTACGACGCCATAAAAATCTCCAGCAAGCATGCAAAGAATGAGGAAGTACTTCATCAGGGTCACAAACGGACGGTGAAGCAACAGCTCCCCTGGTGGCCAGAAGCTGGAATGTTAAATAGCCTCTGAATGTCTGTCTGTATATGTTGTGTGTCTATGGCATTGAAGGTTTGCCATGTATATGTACATTGTAGTCTGCCCTGAGTCCCCTGCAGCATGAGAAGGGCAGAATATAAATACTGTAAATAAATAAATTAATTAAAAATATTATTTGACTAAATAGACAAACCCAGAGGCAATTTAACATTCCAGCTTTCCGGCTTCATGAGGGTATGCTTGATTCCAGCCACAAAGGGAGCTGTTGCTTCACTGTCCACTTGTGACACCGAGTCCTTGATGGAGTACTGCCTCATTCTTCTACAAGCTGTTGGAAGGTTTTTTAAATGGTTTTATTTTATTTTTTGTCGCAAAAGCATTGCATAAATTAGTATAAAACTGATAAAAATAGAGGGAGCGGGGGTGGTTAAATATCTTTTGACCAAAAATGGGCAACAGCAATGGCATTCCCTGTAGCCTCCAACAACTCTTCCTCTGTGCATGAGTTAGGGCACAGTGGACAAGCATACAGATGCGGAGTTGTCTATTCTGCTCCACAGTCACACAAGGTGTGGGATTCTTCTAGGTCGTGCCATTTTGCCAGGCTGTATTTTGATCTGCCCATTCCACTTCTGAGTCTGTTCAGGGACTTCCAAGTTGCCCATTCTTGGTTTGCCCCTGGAGGACAAAATTTTAAACATTTTTATGGTGTCGTAAATTAGTTAGATAGAACAGACCCAGTTGGCCTCCCGGCATAAATTTCCTACTTGACAGATGCAGCTGTCTTTCAGACTGCTGTCATGATGCCAGGGCTCTGCCTTATTCAGGTAGAGATGAACCAAACAAATACCCAGTTTGTATCCAGCAGTTTAATTAAAACAGCACTTACTTTCTGGCTGTTTTATTAGTCCAAAATATAAAACAAGGACTGCACTCAGCCACAGAATATAAAACAAAAACAGCAAACACTGTTGCAAGTTCAAGATAACTCTGTAGTCAAAAGGTCCCGTCCAGTGGTCAAACACCGAGAGTTCAATAAACAAAATCCAGTTATCAAGAGTCTATACCAGGGATCCTCAGACTTTTCAAACAGAGGGCCAGGTCACAGTCTCTCAAAATGTTGGAGGGCCAGATTATAATTTGAAAAAAAAATTTATGAGTTCCTATGCATACTGCACATATCTTATTTGTAGTGCAAAAAACACGTAAAACAATACAATAATTAAAATGAAGAACAATTCTAACAAATATAAACTTGTTAGTATTTCAGTGGGAAGTGTGGACCTGCTTTTGGCTGATGAGATAGGATTGTTGTTGTGTGCTTTCAAGACTTAGGTTGACCCTGAGCAAGGGCCGGGTAAATTACCTTGGAGGGCCGTATTCGGCCCTTGGGCCTTAGTTTGAGGACCCCTGGTCTATACCATAGTCAAAAGCCAGTCCAAAGGTTCAAGGTTTCCAGATTCCAAAGGTTGAGGAGACAGGTCAGGACACCGAAAATCCACAAACCTGGGGGGAAACCAGCAGCATCTACCACCAAGATAAAACAAATACTTTTCTCCTGAAGATCAGTCCCAAGGCTAGCTCCTTAAATCCAGAAACACCCAGCTGTAATCCATCTCTTGTATACCTCCACCCTTAATTGCTTTCTCCCATGAACTCTTACTTAGAGATTACTCAACCCTTTAAAACTAAGACTTACATTAACCCTTCCATCACCAACTGCTAGGCCTGCCACCACCAACCACCATCAACTGCAGAACATGATACATGACAACTGCATAGGTCAACAGCAAGTTAGACTATTCATGGTCGAGAGCTCACTCCGACCTGGGCTGGCTTTGAACTCATGACCTCTCGGTCAGTAGTGATTTAATGCTGCTGGCTACTAATTGCACCACAACCTGGTATATATTATGTCCTAGCACTGTAAGACTGCTGAAAAATCTTGGCCTTTATCCTTCTGCCTGCATCTAGAGTGTTTGACAAGATAAAGAGCCGGAACGCTCACATGAAGCGCCATCGCCTCCAGGAACAGATGGAGCCCACGATAAAGATTAAGTGGCCCATAAAGCATCCGAAAAACGAGCCAAAGAAGGAAGAGAGAAATTTGGGTGCTGACTTCATACAATGGTAACTGGGAAAGCACCATTCCAGGGTAAGTATGTCGGTAAACCTGTCCAACCCAAGGAACAAAATCAGAAGGATGTATTAGGGTTTGTTTTGTTTTTTTAAATCATGTAGTATCTGTTTATTTGTGTGTACATAGCAGTAGTTCCCAACCTGTGGTCCATGGGCCATCAGTGGTCCGCAAGAACTAAAATATGGTCAACGACCTTACCGTTGCAATGAGAGCTCACTTGCCTAGTTTCCAACATACATCCCAAACTTTGAGGATGCCTGCCATAGATGTGGGTGAAATGTCAGGAGAGAATGCTTCTGAAACATGGCCATACAGCCCGTAAAACTCACAACAACTCAGTAGTCTTGTTCCAACATTATTACAGTATTTTGAATAAGGCAGTGTTACAGTTTGACGAACGTATATGGCAAAGATGCTAGTAAGGTTAAATAACAATAAAAATTGTGGGTCAGTGTACTTGAGGCCTCTGTAGGTACTGTTTGCTATTTGGAGAACCCATTTTTAAAAATAGGAACCTAGACTTGCGAATCCTGGGGGCTACATGCAATCTGTGGGCATTCGGTACATTACTTAAACCTGACATCGAAAGTGTATAAAGCCTACTTTAATTTCTAATTATGGAGTTAAAAGAATTCTGTATAATTATCAGTAACTAAAATAGCTTTTGATCCATTGTTGGGTTAGTTGTTCAAAAAATAATGTATCTAATGAGATTGTATGAGTAACCTTCATTCTCTTCCCTTTCTCTGCTCTTTTGTCTTTCAGGGTTCTGGTATGTATGTATATATATATATAGGAAGGAATAGATCAATCACTGAGAAATCACCTTTGTATTTAGTATCTTTTTTTGGGACTGATGTTTGCACAGCTGCTTTTTTTAATTCACTACATAGTATTTTGGTTATTGTTGTTTTGTATGCACTCACAGTGTTGTTTATTAAATTGAGTTCCTCACTGAAAGTTGTTAATCTAGAATATGTCTTTACTGTAAGTCACATCAAAAATAAATAACATTTTCAACCTTTTGTGCTGTTTGCCTCATTGTAATGGAGTGGGGACCAGACATCTGAGTGTATGGATTTCTCCTTTCTGGAGCAACTGTATGATATTCGAATATATAAATAGGTTGCACAATCAAAACATGGAGTATAGAGTTTGCACAGTTAACACCCTCAGGATATTAACGTGATTTTGTCTTTGGTATAGCAGTCTTGTATGAATAAACATTTCAAAGTTGCAATGGGGAAAGGAAAAACCAAATATTTGTATGTGCCCCCAATGATTGGCTGTCAGTTAGATGTACCCTGTGAATCTGTTGAGGTCAGGAGAATCAGAGTTGGAAGAGATCACAAGGATTATCAAGCACAAAGCTCTCCCGATAGATGGCCATCCAAAGTGGCTTACAACCAGAGGCGGCCCTAGGTAATTTTCAACGGTAAGCAAACAGTATTTCCCCCCCCCCCCCCCAACCAATCACTGATATATATTTTCTGTTCGTCGTGGGAGTTCTGTGTGCCATATTTGGTTCAATTCCATCATTGGTGGAGTTCAGAATGCTCTTTGATTGTAGGTGAACTATACATCCCAGTAACTACAACTCGCATATGTCAAGGTCTATTTTCCCCCAAGAGCGCCTCAAGAGCGCCCCTGGGCAAAATCAACTATACTGCAAATGCTTACTTTGCGTAATGGGTTGAGCCGCCCCTGCCTGGGGGGGTCACAAAGGGGTTTCTGAGGGGTCGCCAAAGACCATCAGAAAACATATATTTCTGATGGTCTTAGGAACCCCTTTGGCTGAGAAGGCTGAAGATCTCTCCACCTGTCCTTCTCTTCCTTTTCGGAAACAGATGGTGAATCCTTCCACCAAAAGCCCTCCTCTGCTGTGATTGGCCAGCCTCTCAGCCAAGGGGAGGACTGTTTCTGAGACTGAGGGGAGCATGGTGTTGCCGCAAGAAGGTCCTCCATTCATCATATGGCAGGGCTCAGGTTACATTGCAGCAGGTGGTCAGTGGTTTGCTCTTTTCCACACTCGCATGTCGTGGATTCCACTTTGTGGCCTCATTTCTTAAGGTTGGCTCTGCATCTCGTGGTGCCAGAGCACAGTCTGTTCAGCGCCTTCCAAGTCGCCCAGTCTTCTGTGTGCCCAGGGGAGAGTCTCTCATTCGGTATCAGCCATTGATTGAGGTTCTGGGTTTGAGCCTACCACTTTTGGACTCTCGCTTGCTTAGGTGTTCCAGCGAGTGTCTCTGTAGATCTTAGAAAACTATTTCTTGATTTAAGTCGTTGACTGATACCCAAACCTTACGCAGCATTCTGGTCTGCATCAGGGGAGTGTGCTTGCTCCATCAATGTTCAACATTTACACAAATGACCAGCCATTGCCAGAAGGACGGAGAGCTTCATTTATGCTGATGATCGTGCCATTACTGCTCAAGCAGGGAGCTTTGAGATGGTTGAACAGAAGCTCTACGAAGCTCTAGGTGCTCTTACTGCCTATTACAGGGAATACCAGGTGATCCCTAATCCATTTAAAACACAGACATGTGCTTTTCATCTTAGAACAGACAAGCACCCCAAGCTCTGAGGATGACCTGGGAAGGAATCCCACTGGAGCATTGCAGCGCACCCAAATACCTGGGGGTTACCCTGGACCATGCTCCGACTTATAAGAAGCACTGCTTGATTATCAAGCAAAAAGTGGGTGCTAGAAACAATAACATACGAAAGCTGACTGGCACAACCTAGGGATCACAACCAGACACAGTGAAGACATCTGCCCTTGCGCTATGCTACTCTGCTGCTGAGTATGCATGCCCAGTGTGGAACACATCTCGCCACGCTAAAACAGTAGATGTGGCTCTTAATGAGACATGCTGCATTATCACGGGGTGTCTGCGCCCCACACCACTGGAGAAATTACACTGCTTAGCCGGTATTGCACTACCTGAAATCCACTCGGAAGTAGCAACCAATAGTGAAAGCACCAAGGCAGTGACATCTCCGGCCCATCCTCTGGCCCTCATGCTGAGGTATGATTCCAGTTCCCATTAGCCCTAGACATCAGAGTGCCAAGAGATAACAGAAACTGCAGCGTGACAATACAGGGAAGGGTAAAAGTCGCACAACCTTGCAATAAAATGCCACTCAACAGTGTTGTTATTATTTGTTTTATATACTTTGCAACAGCAGTCCATGGATTGTATCCTCATACATTCACAAATACTCACATTGTCATTCATAGTATATTTGGAGCTGGGTTGTGGATTTCCTAACCAAGCCCGGCTCCATTTATCACACCTGACCTTTCTTCACATTTGTAAAAAGCTGCAGGGTGGGTTAGGTACACACACAGCCAGGGATGATGATTATAGTTTTCCATGTAAACACATACTTGTGTTGCAAAGGTCTGTGAGCACTTTTAACTTCAGCAAAACAATCTGCAAACAGGTTTTTCTCCTACCTTCGATGATCTACCTACCTAGACTATTCACTCTTTTTCTGTTGCTAGACAGAAATAGCAGCTTTCAAAACAAAAACATTTAGATGTTTAGCAGTTGATAAATAATAGTATTTTTAGAAAATTCTCACAATTTTTACCACTGCAGTGGGGCACTACAGCAGGACTCCAACAGTTAACTAACACTGTTTTTGTTATTAATTCCCTTTAAAATCATGTTTTTTTAATCTTTAACTAACTGACACTGCTGGCAAGAGGAGTCAATTTGGTACAATGAAGGATTGTTGGACCAGGGCTTTGGGAAACCAGGATTTGAATCTCTGCTCAGTCATGAAAGCCACTTAACGAACATAACGATAGTTTAAAGCAATGGCGAAACTCTTCTGCAGAAACCATGCCATGAAAACCCTAGAGCAAGATCGCCACAAGTCAAAATTGACTTGAAGACACACAACACATAAAATGCTGCATATAGCCTCTTAATTCTACAAACATCCCAGGGTTTTGATTTGCTTACAAAGGTCTGGGTATCTTATGTAATAAGCACCACTCATTCATGGGATCAGTATATGTTAACCATAGAAAACAGTGTTTCTCAACCTGAAGGTTGGGGGATTGCAAGGGGGTGTTAGAGGGGTCACCAAAGACCATGAAAACACAGTATTTTCTGGGTTGTTGTAGGTTTTTCCGGGCTATATGGCCATGTTCTGGAGGCAATTTTTCTCCTGACGTTTCGCCTGCATCTATGGCAAGCATCCTCAGAGGTAATGAGGTCAACAGTATTTTCTGTTGGTCATGGGAGTTCTGTGTGAGACGTTTGGCTCAATTCCATCATATGTGGGGATCAGAATAGTCTTTGATTGTAGGTGAACTATCAATCCCAGCAACGACAACTCCCAAATGTCAAGGCCTACTTCCCCCAAACTCCACCAGTGTTCACCTTTGGGTATATTGAGTATTTGTGCCAAGTTAGGCCCAAATCAGAAGACGCTTACTTCTTGGGAGGAGAGCAATGTCCAGTCTCGATAAAATCGTAAAGAGTAGAGACATCAGACTGGCAACAAAGATCCTGCCTAGTCAAAGCCATGGTATTCCCTGTAGTAACCTACGGATGTGAGAGCTGGACCTTAGGGAAGGCTGAGCGAAGGAAGATCGATGCTTTTGAGCTGTGGTGTTGGAGGAAAGTTCTGAGAGTGCCTTGGACTGCGAGAAGATCCAACCAGTCCATCCTCCAGGAAATAAAGCCCGACTGCTCACTGGAGGGAAGGATACTAGAGACAAAGTTGAAGTACTTTGGCCACATCATGAGGAGACAGCAAAGCCTAGAGAAGGGAATGATGCTGGGGAAAGTGGAAGGCAAAAGGAAGAGGGGCCGACCAAGGGCAAGCTGGATGGATGGCATCCTTGAAGTGACTGGACTGACCTTGAAGGAGCTGGGGGTGGTGACGGCCGACAGGGAGCTCTGGCGTGGGCTGGTCCATGAGGTCACGAAGAGTCGGAGACGACTGAACGAATTAACAACAACAGGTCCAAATCCATCATTGTTTGAGTCCACAGTGCTCTCTGGATGTAGGTGAACTACAACTCCCAAACTCAAGGTCAATGCCCACCAAACCCAGTATTTTCTGTTGGTCGTGGGAGTCCTGTGTGCCAAGTTTGGTTCAATTCCACTGTTTGTAGAGTTCGGAATTTATTTATTTATTTACGGCATTTATATGCTGCCCTTCTCACCCCGAAGGAGACTCAGAGCACCTTACAAGATATATTTTCACACAATATATTATATTGTTAGCATAGTACAATATCAGTATTATATATTACTATATTTCACAATACCATTATATTGTAATATTATTAGTAATATTTGTTGTTGGTCATTCGTTCAGTCGTTTCCGACTCTTTGTTACTTCATGGACCAGTCCATGCCAGAGCTCCCTGTCGGTCGTCACCACCCCCAGCTCCTTCAAGGTCAATCCAGTCACTTCAACGATACCATCCATTCATCTTGCCCTTGGTCGGCCCCTCTTCCTTTTTCTTTCCATTTCCCCCAGCATCATACTCTTCTCTAAGCTTTCCTTTCTTCTCATGAGGTTAGTAATATTACATGTGATGTAAATATATAATTATAATTATAATATTGTATTGTATTGCATCTCTCCCTATGAACCCCCCAGGAAACTAAGATTGTCTGGGGAGGCCCTGCTCTCGATCCCACCTGCTTCGCAGGCACGTCTGACAGGGACAAGAGACAGGGCCTTCTCTGTAGTGCCCTCCCAGCTGTGGAACTCCCTCCCCAGGGATATTAGATCAGCCCCCTCCCTCCTGACTTTCCGAAAAAGAGTAAAAACTTGGCTCTTCGAGCAAGCATTCGGAACCCTGGAATAAACAGACAAACTAGAGTTGAAAACTGACCCAGGAATGGACAAGACAATATAATGGATGAAGTTTTGAACAGAGGACATCGTTTCTTTTTAAATTGTTATTATGCACTGTCGATCATGTTTAATTGCGTTTAATGTTTTTGCTTTATCAATGTATGTATTTTGTTTCGGCATCGAATTGTGCCGACAGTGTCGCCTTCCGGCTGAAATCGAATTGTGCCAACTGAGTCGCCTTCCGGCTGAAATGGGCAGGATAGAAATAATGTAAATAAATAAATAAATAAATAAATAAATTATTACTAGTCTTTGATTGTAGGTGAACTATAAATCCCAGCAACTACAACTCCCAAATGAATTATGATTCAAACTATTACAAATATGGACCAAAATTGGCATGAATACTCAATATGGGGAAAACAGACCTTGACATTTGGGAGTTGTAGTTGCTGGGATTTATAGTTCACCTACAACCAAAGAGCATTCTGGACCCCACCAATGATAGAATTGGGCCAAACTTCCCACACAGAATCCCCCAAACCAAGAGAAAATACTGTTTTCTGATGGTTTTTGGTGACCCCTCTGACACACCTCTCATGACCCTCCCAGGGGTCCTGACCCCCAGGTTGAGAAGTGCTGCTCTACTGTGATTAAGACAATATCTGGGTTGGTATATGGGCGCTGTTTTCTCCCTCCTCTCTAGGATTGCATGGGTGAGAAAGAGGTATGCCACGGTGCTTGCAAGGCATTGCAGAAGGAAGCCTGCTTTCTTTCACACCAAGGTATCCCCAAGCTATGGCCCCAGAAACACTGGACTCATCAACGCCAATCAGCTAACAGCATAACCAGCCATCAGAAGTGAGTAAAGGTTTATTGAAACATCTAGATGACTGCAGTGCTACCACCTCAGTTTGCAGGATTTCAAACAGAAGACATGAAGAATACTTAGGTTCTCCCATTGGAAGGGCATCACAGAAATTCACTGTAAAGCCAGGGTGGGCAACTGAGAAAGGCTAAAGGGCTGTACCACATGCTCCTCCACATGCCTCTAAACATTGTCAAAATCAGTGATTCCCAAATTCTAGCCCACTAGTTGTTTTAGACTTCATCTCCCAGGATCCCTGATCATTGGCACAGGCTGCTGACAGTTGAAGTTCAAAACACTTGGAGACCAGTGTTTGGAAACCACAGGTTGAGATGCTTGGGTGGCACGTATCGTATATTCTGGCATATAAGACTACTGTTTAACCCAATAAAATCTTCTCAAAAGTCAGGGGTCGTCTTATACGCGGGGGTCATCTTATAAGCGAGGGGTAGCCTTATTCATAGGAGTCGTCTTATATGCTGGAGTAGTCTTATATGCCGGGAGTCATCTTATGGAGCAGATGCTGAAATTTCCAATCTGGATTGGAGAATCTGTGGTTGCTGCATATTGTGGGGGGAGCTCAAAAATGGCAATGTCCGCGTCCCTGCCGTATGCAGTGACTGTATGAAAGCATTAAGGGTGACACTGCAAGTATGGTAGAAGAAAATCCATTCATCAGGATTTGTGGACTTATTGTGGTCCTGATAGCGAGGTGAAGGGGCACCTCACCGGGAAGGTATAAGTGAAGGGCGGAGCAAGCTGCAGGCGTCCGGGGCGCCTGGGGTATGGAAAAAACACAACTTTTTTACCTGTCTGGCCCGCCCTTGTATCCTATTACCGTACATCCTTCTCTGCCTCTCAGATCACCTGTCCTCCCCTCTACGTCATGCCTCAGGACTTCTGACTGCTTTTGCGGCGGAAGAACTGACCGTTAGCCCCGCGTTGGGCTATTTATGATGACGGAGGGTGGGCGGGGCTACACTAATGGTCCTTTTTAGTCTCGAGATTTCCGAAGCTGTCTGCGCGCACACAGGAATATACCATAGGTGCAAATCACAGGCGGTCACGAGGGGAAACTGAGAGGCAGAGGAGGTACAGCAATAGGATACAAGGGCGGGCCAGACAGGTAAAAGAGCTGTGTTTTTTTCCATATCCCCGGGTGCCCCAGACGCCCGCACCTTGCTCTGCCCTTCACTTACACCTTCCCGGTGAGGCGCCTCTTCACCGCACCATCGGGACCACATTAAGTCCACAAATCCTGATGCAAATTACCATATTGAAATCAAATCTGATGTTTTTAAAAAAATTTATTTGGTGTCTGTTGGAAGAGGGGTAGTCTTATATAGCGAGTATATCCCAAACTCTATATTTTAACTGGAAAAGTTGGGAGTCATCTTATATACCCAGTCGTCTTATTTGCCGGAATATACGGGTATTTAGCCCAAGAGAAGCCTTTTTAAACAACAGAAAGTGAATGGATGCCTGATTTAGAACGCAAAAACCGAAGAAGAAGAAGTGGCAGAAGAAGTGGTGAAGTGGAGATATCCCCCGTGCCCCATAAGAAAGTATTTTAGGGTTAATTTTTCAATACCGGAGTTAGGAGAGTTTGCATAACCTATCTTAAAGTAACTGATACACACACAGGAACATGCATGGACCCACAGAGCACTGTAACATACTTATCTGAGCTCTGGGATCATGTCTACATTCTTCTGTCTTCTCGAACATAGCTAAGGGCATAATTTGAGTTCCCCAGGTATGCTTTCATGGATCTGCAGGATCTGCCCTCCAGGAATGCACTGTTGCATGTGGGCCTTTATTCTGCTTCAGCCTAGAGAAGTGGTTCTCAAGCTGTGGGTCCCCAGATGTTTTGGCCTTCAACTCCCAGAAATCCTAACAGCTGGTAAACTGACTGGGATTTCTGGGAGTTGTGGGCCAAAACACCTGGAGATCCACAAGTTGAGAACTACTGGCCTTTGTTGTTGTTCATTCGTTCAGTCGTTTCCGACTCTTCGTGACTTCATAGACCAGCCCACACCACAGCTCCATGTCAGTCATCACCACCCCCAGCTCCTTCAAGGTCAATCCAGTCACGTCAATGATGCCATCCATCCATCTTGCCCTTGGTCGGCCCCTCTTCCTTTTTCCTTCCACTTTCCCCAGCATCATTGTCTTCTCTAAGCTTTCCTTTCTTCTCATGATGTGGCCAAAGTCCTTCATCTTGGCCTCTACTGTTCTTCCCTCCAATGAGCAGTCAGCCTTTATTTCTTGAAGTACGGACTGGTTGGATCTTCTCGCTGTCTACTGTCCTAGAACATGGCTTTTCAAGAACATGGCTCTTACTTTTATTTAGGGAACAACCTACTTCTACTAGAAAAACATGAATAAGCTTGGACAGCAGGCTAATTTGTCAACTACAAGGCTGAGTCTAGCTCAGACCTCTTGAGTATTTTAAAGTGACCTGAAGGCAATACGTCCTTTCCAAGACTACAACCTCCTTCCATCTCCCAGTGTACTGACCATATACTAATTGAGTTGTAATAAGTTTTTCAGACTGTATGTCCATGTTCCAGAAGCATTCTCTCCTGACGTTTCGCCTGCATCTATGGCAGGCATCCTCAGAAGTGGTGAGGTCTATTGGAAACTAGGAAAATTGGGTTTATATATCTGTGGAATGTCCAGGGTGGGAGAAAGAACTCTTTTCTATTCGAGGTAGGTGTGAATGTTGCAATGGGGTTTATATATCTGTGGAATGTCCAATTGCGACATTCACGCCTACCTCAAACAGGCAAGAGTTCTTTCTCCCACCCTGGACATTCCACAAATATATAATATGCTGTGTCCAGGTTGCTCTGCTATTGCTCTATACCACTCTCTATAGCCATAGCAGAGCACCTGATGAACCAACATAGAATCCAAAAATCATAGAGTTGGAAGAGACCTCCTGGGCCATCCAGTCCAACCTCCTGCCTAGAAGCAGGAATATTGCATTCAAATCACCCCTGACAGATGGCCATCCAGCCTCTGTTTACAAGCTTCCAAAGAAGGAGCTTCCACCACACTCCGGGGCAGAGAGTCCCACTGCTGAACAGCTCTCACAGTCAGGAAGATCTTCCTAATGTTCAGATGGAATCTCCTTTCTTGTAGTTTGAAGCCATTGTTCTGCATCCTAGTCTCCAGGGAAGCAGAAAACAAGCTTGCTCCCTCCTCCCTGTGACTTTCTCTCACATATTTATACATGGCTATCATGTCTCCTCTCAGCCTTCTCTTCTTCAGGCTAAACATGCCCAGCTCTTTAAGCCGCTCCTCATAGGGCTTGCTCTCCAGACCCTTGATCATTTTAGTCGGCCACCTCTGGACACATTCCAGCTATCAATATCTCTCTTCAATTGTGGTGCCCAGAACTGGACACAATATTCCATGGACACAGCATATTATTGTTGAACACAGTAATGCTGGACCACTCTCACAACCACAATGTCAGGCCTCACAGAGAAGCTATTGAAATCCACAAGCATGTGGACAATTTCAACAGAAAGGACAAAACCATGAATATGAACAAAATCTGGCTACCAGTATTAAAAAAAAACCCTCTAAAATCAGGACAGTAAATAAAGTGCAACACTCACAAAACAGGAAAATTCCAGACAAGAAACAACCAGGACCAGGAAATACCTCCCAACAAAGGATTCCCCCAGGTAGGAAGCAGCCAGGCTTTGAAGCTACAAGGCTATTCAATGCTAATCAACATTCACACTTGTCTCAAGCAGACAAGAGTTCTTTCTTCCACCCTGGACATTCCACAGATATATGAACGCCCATTGTCATTGTGTTTGTGCTTATTGTAATTTTATATTATGTATTCACATGTTTTATATAATTATGATGTTGTTATTATTGTTCGCATTTTTGGTTTGCGTTTTCGGTTTTTCTTTATTGTAACTGTTATTCGGGCTTGGCCTCATGTAAGCCACTCCAGTCCCCATTGGGGAGATGGTGGGTCTGGAGAACAAGGGTCTGGAGAACAAGCCCTATGAGGAGCTGCTTAAGGAGCTGGGCATGTTTAGCCTGAAGAAGAGAAGGCTGAGAGGAGACATGATAGCCATGTATAAATATGTGAGAGGAAGCCACAGGGAGGAGGGAGCAAGCTTGTTTTCTGCCTCCCTGGAGACTAGGACGTGAAACAATGGCTTCAAACTACAAGAAAGGATATTCCATCTGAACCTGAGGAAGAACTTCCTGACTGTGAGAGCCGTTCAGCTGTGGAACTCTCTGCCCCGGAGTGTGGTGGAGGCTCCTTCTTTGGAAGCTTTTAAACAGAGGCTGGATGGCCATCTGTCAGGGGTGATTTGAATGCAATATTCCTGCTTCTTGGTAGAATGGGGTTGGACTGGATGGCCCATGAGGTCTCTTCCAACTCTTTGATTCTATGATTCTATAAATAAAGTTTATTTTTATATTATTATATTTTCCTAGTTTCCAACAAACCTCAAAACCTCTGAGGATGCCTGCCATAGATGTGGGCAAAACATCAGGAGAGAATGCTTCTGGAACATGGCTATACAGCCCGAAAAACTTACAACAAGCCTGTGATTCCGGCCACAAAAGCCTTCGACCATACATCACACACTAATTCTCTGGACAGCTTCTGTGCTTTTTCCACACCCAACTTTCAGAACTGGTTCTGCACAGTCTTATTTGGATTCTCACCGCTGTTTCTCATAGATTCCAAAAAATCGAAATTTTGATGCAAGAAGAGAATCTGGTCCAGATTTTCGGGGGCAAGCACACCCCTCCTGTGCTCCAGGGCACTTTCACTGGCAGCAAAGGCCTGATCTGGTGGCACAACCGTTGCCGGTATGGCCAGGTATTGCCGGGCTAATCTGGCAACAGAAGGGAAACGGTGCTCATTGTTCTTCCACCAGTCCAAGGGGTTCGTGCTGCGCTTGCAGAGGGGCTCCACAATGTAGTTCTCCAGCTGCTGGTGGATCTCAGGCATGCTCTCCGTTGGGTCTTTCCCTAAGAGGATGTCGTACATACTCTGGGACTGCCCGCTTGGACCTCTTTCCTTATGAGCAGAGAGCTGACTGGCGGCTTCACTCACCTCTGCTTTATAGTCAGAGCTTGGAACCCAGAACTGGGTTGAGACTGGGGATTGGTGGTTAAAGAACTGGGACAGCATGTTTTTGATTTTTTTGTGGAGCTCACTCCGCAGACTGGGACTGAGGAACCTCATTTCTTTGAAACGCGGGTCTAAGAAGGACGCAACCACGGCTGGGCTCTCCAGCAGCTTCTCATCATCTGAGATGCCCCAACGTTGTGTGAGTTCTGACCTTATATTGTTCACCACAGTCTTAATGGTGCCACTTGCCTCTTCTGACTGCTGTCCAATGGCGGTCACAATGCCGTGGATGCATGGCATCAAGGAAGATATGGAGAAGTTCTGCTCCTCCCTCAAGAAGGATGTGGCGATCTTTAGGGTCCTCATGACAGGCATTAGGTCCTGCAAGAGTTTCCACTGATGGTCTGCCAAATTCTGGACCACAGTCGTTCCCTTGGGATGTTCCTCCAACACAGACATGATGGCCCACTTGAGATCCAGCAGGCACTCGCACATCTCAATGGTTGTTATCCACCGAGCTCCAGTGTCCATCACCAGCTTCAGTTTGGTCTTGTTGATGGCTTCCAGTTTGCTATTCAGTGAGCAGGTGGCTTTAGCATCCTGCTGGAAGTAGCAGACGATGCTACGAGCGGCACTCAGGGCCTCTTGTACCTGCTCCACCTCAAGACCTGCCTGGACGCAGAGGTGCAGCAGGTGAGCAGCACAGCACATGCTAGTCCAGCCATAGACACATTTGAGTTGGGAGGAGTTCACCTCCATATCTTGGAGGCTGTCATGCATCACACAGAAAACAGACTTGCTGGGCATCCCAAAGTCCGTCAAGACCGAGTACAACCTGTCTCCCAAATTGCTCTCCATTTTATTCTCATGCACCTGTTGGGTCTCCAAGATGCATCTTGCCCGTCGCCATTCCCCATCAATGAAGTTAGCCATGATTGTCAGGTATGTCTGGTTGGGTTGGGAGACCCAGAACTCAGCACAGATCACAACCGACTGGGCAGTTTGTAGGTAATGTTCCAGGTGTTGCTTGACGACGTTGTATCGGTGCCACAACATGCTAGAGAGCTGCATAGGAGATGGAAGGATAAAACTGGGTTCTAGGTAGCCAATCAGAAGACCAAAGCCTTTGTCCTTCACTACTGAGAGGGGGTGGAGGTCCCGAAAAATCATTTCTAGCACAAGCTCCAGAATTACATCAGTTCTAGGTTCTGTGCAGGGCACAGTGTGGTACTGATTGTTGTTTTCAGGTGTTAGCTGGCGAGCCCTTTTGATTGCGTTCTCCTGAGCGATGTAGTCAGGGTCTGAGATCTGGTCATCCTTTAACTGAGAGAGCAAAGTGTCACGGATGCTGTGTTTCCTCACCAGATGTTCCCTCATGGTTGTGGTGCTGTTGTGGAAGGACAACTGCTTCTTGCAGACATTGCACTCAACGTAGGCGTCCCCCAGCTTGGTGTAGTAGTTCCACACCTTGGATTTGCGCCGGTCAACGTAGAGAGACGTGCTTGTGCCATCATGGCCGGTGCCCTTTTCACGCCTCCTTCTGGTGCACGGGCCCAAGTTGGCTGGCATTGCACAGGTGTTGAAGACCATTGATATTTCTTCTGTTGAATGGGAAAGAAGAGAGAAGAGAGATCTAATGAACTTGCTCATAGTACAGTGTAGAGCAGCATTTCTCAACCTTCCTAATGCCGTGACCCCTTAATACAGTTCCTCATGTGGTGGTGACCCCCAACCATTAAATTATTTTAATTGCTACTTCATAACTGTAGTTTTGCTACTGTTATGAATCGTCATATAAATATCTGATATGCAGGAGGCATTTTCATTCACTGGACCACATTTGGCACTGAATATTTGGTTGAAAGAAAATAAAGTACTTCTGTTATTAGAACAGAAACAACAATAAGAACAAAACTCACTTATACAGACTCACTACCAAGAAAATGAAGAAAGTTGAGAAATAGTTACTGTAATTACCTATATGGAGAAAGACGGAAGAAACACCCCCCCCCATGTGTCTCCCCTATCCCTGTCTCCCCCCACCCCCTTTACTTTTCCCGTACCCTAACTCACCCCTCCCCTTCTTCAAAGTTGTTTTTATTGTCAATGAAAAATCATGAATAAAAATTATTAAAACTGAAATACTTCCGGTGGACATGGCGACGGGGAAGCCTCGTTAAGAGCGAGCTCCTGACGAGGACCTGTGTAGTGGTGGTTTTGGTCGAGCCTAAGGCTCCCCCCTTTGCCGGATCGAGTTGCAAAGGTGTCGCAAATCCCAAGGTGGGCTTGAAGACCCCAAAGACCACTCCCCCCTCAAGGAGGAGAGGTCGAGAGGGTCCGAGCAACACAGGGGAAAGCGAGCCACCCCACGAGGATCGAGCCGAAAGGCACGTTCAACCGCCGTCAACCCATTCACAGCAAAGCAAGAAAGAAGAAGAAAGAAACCCCCAACGAGGGGGAGATACAAGAAAGACCCCAACCTCAGGTAACGGGAACTATATCTCCCAACTATTTTACGAAGTAAGAAATCCAGCTAGAAATAGTCTGGAGGACTATAGAAAGATAAAGAAATAAAGAAACGAAGCCGTAGAAAATAAAGAGGAAGCAATATAAGACTTGGCTTTCCGGATTTAAATTAAAGTATAAACTCTTTAAAGAACAGAAATTAGTAAACTCATAATTAAGCAATTAGAATCGGATGATGAAATAAAAAATATAGAACATAAATTGGCAATTTGAATTTCCAAAGGCCGCTCTATTTTTTAATTTAATCCAAAATAAAAGGAGACTGAGCAGATTTGATATCCTTTGCCTGCCCCCCCCCCACGGATTGGATATATAAGTGGCGAACTCTCCGACCTTGACGCCATAGTTGTTGTGTCTATCTTCGGCCTTCTCTATAAACAATCAGGCTGTGCCGGTGGGAAAGGAAGTGACAACAACGGAAGGCGGAGACAGGAAGTGACAGACTGGAAGGTCGGAAGGACTAAGGAAAGGACGGAAGGGCGGAAGTGACGGGGCGGAAGTGACGGGGCGGAAGGAGGAAGGAAGCCATTTTGAAAAACCATAGAGAAAGTCCGATATAGAGCGGCCGAAATAAAAATTAAATTTTTTCAAAAATCAAATAAATTTGAATTAAATAAACTATAAAGTGAAGAGTCTGAAGACCAGGAGGTGAAGTAGAAGACAGGAGGTGACAGATCAAGGACGAGAAGTAGACGGAACGAGGACGAGAAGCAGACGATCGAAGGGTGGAGGCCAGGAAGAGAAGCAGACGAATTTATCATCATAGATGAGGACGAGAAGCAGACGAAATTAAAGAGATAAAGCGAGGACAAGAAGTAGACGAATTTCAAAGGAATTAAATAGAAGAAGAGAGGCGGAAAAGCTGAAATTAATTCAATTTGAATATCTACATCTATCTTAAATTCTACAATTAACTCACTAACTTATTAATTTTATAGCTCCACAAAAATATCACCATACAATCAATTTATAATTCATAATTAAATCAGAACTAGTTAATTACTAAAAATAAAATAATTGGTCATTTTAGACTCTAAAATTAATTAATTAAATTAAACTAAGTTAATGAATTGGATATAAAAATATTGATTAGATTATTAATTGACAATTTACAAATTGGAAATTGATAGAGGGGAGAAAGTGAATATCCACCTTCTTGGAAATTGGAAATTGATAAGAATAAGAAGAATTTGGGGAAAGGATTCTAAATGACCACCCAAGGTAAACCAGAATCCCGGAGAGGATCCTTAGATATGAATCCGAAGATGGACAATCTGTTGAAAGAAATAAAAAAATATCGGAAAAACAAGATGCATTAAAGGTGGAATTGAAGAACGAGGTTACAACGAAATATGAGGAATACTACAAGAAACAGGAAGGAATTATTACAAAGATGACGGAAGAATTTAAAGCAATGAAAACTGAGATAAAAGAAGAATTCGGCCAGATGAAAAAAGATATATCGCAATTGCATGGAGATGTGAAAGATTTAAAAGTCTCTAAGGAGAAGATAGAGGGAACCCAAACAGAATTGGCACAGAAGATAAAAGGATTGGATAAACAAAGGGAGAAAATGGAATTAGAACAAGAGAAATTGCTTCAGATTCAAATGGACTTTCAATTGAGACTTAGAAATATTGTGGAGGAAGAAAAAGAAGATATTAGACAATTGGTAATCAAAATGTTGGCAAGCTGTATGGAATGTGAGGAAGATGAATTTGAACAAGAAGTGGACCAAATTTATAGAATTTCGTCTTTTTACGCGAGGAAAAATAAAACCGCAAGAGACGTGATTGTGAAATTTACAAGGAAGAAGGTGAGGGATGACGTTTTGTACAAAAGCAATAGAAATCCAATTTATTACAAAGAAAAGAAAATTGCTGTTCTGAAGGAATTTCCACAGATGACCTTAGCTAGAAGAAGAAAGTACTTCTTCTTAACAGAAGAATTGAAAAAAAGAGAGATAAGATATAGGTGGGAAAGAAGAGAAGGAATAATGGTGACTTATAATGAAGAAAGGCATTGGCTGACATCTGAACAGAAGGCAAAAGTATTCTATGACAAACTTATGAAAGAAACGGAAGGAGAAGAAGAGATGGGAGAAGCAGAGGACGAAGAAGGAGCAGAAGCAGAAGGAGACGAAGAAAGGAGATTGTCCACTCCAAGAAAGGGAATTAAAAATAAAATAGCAAGGTACAAATCACCAAAGGAATATAGCTATCTCTTGAAAGACCCAAAACCACCGAGATCGACACCACGAAAAGAAGAAAGAACAATCTGCAACTGGATCAGTGAAAATGGCATTTGGCGACATGGGACTGGGCTTGGACGGGAATGAATAATATGATGGAGCGTCAAATAAAATGTTTTTCAAACAACATTAATGGTCTGAACTCTCCTCAAAAACGTAAGAAAGTATGGAATAGTTTAAAGAAATTGAGCTATGATGTAATAGCTCTACAGGAAACACACGTCTGTGACAAACATGTTGCACATCTCTCCAATAAAAAATTAGGAAAAGAGTATCACTCATATGAGAAAAAGAAAAGAGGAGTGGTGACTTACGTAAAAGAAACAATAGAATCAGAATTGGCTTTTAGAGATTTGGAGGGAAGGTGCGTGGCAGTAAAGATAATAATTGGAGATTCGAAAATTTTGGTTTGTAATATCTATGCCCCAAATGGCCCAAAGTTAAAATTCATTGAATTCCTAAATTCCAAATTGAAAGAAGTGGAATTTGACGATATGATCTTGGTAGGAGACTTTAATGGGGTAATTGATTACCAAATGGATAAAAGTGTGAAGAAGAGAAAAACAAAGGAAGGTACGCTACCACAAAAATTTATGGAACTTCAAAGAGAATTTGATTTAGAAGATGTATGGAGGAATAGAAATAAAGATAAAAAAGACTATACTTTCTTCTCAAATAGACATCAGTCATGGTCTAGGATTGATATGGCATGGATAACTAGGAAGCTCTCTGCCAAAGTGAAGGAAATTAATATTTTACCACGAGACCTGTCGGACCACTGCCCCTTAGAAATCTTCATTAACCATAAAAATTATTGCAGAAAATGGAGATAGAATGAGAACTTAATAAAAACAGAGTCGGATAAAGAATATTACAAGAAGATAATTAAGGACTATTTACAAATAAATAATCTGGAAGACATGGACCCACAGGTGGTGTGGGACGCCCTTAAAGCAGTTTTGAGAGGACACTTCATACAACAAGGATCAAGGAAAAATAGAGAAAGGAATAAAAGAATAAATGAATTAGTGGGTGAAATAGCAGCCAAGGAATTGGAATTAAAAAAGAGACCAGAGAAAAAAACAGAGAGAAAATTGGTGGCATTAAAACAAGAGAAAACCCGTGTGGAGTTAGAACTCCAGGCCAGACAAATGAAGTTTTTAAAGCAACAGTCTTTTGAAAACGCGAATAAACCAGGGAAATGGCTAGCAAATCAGATACGGAAAAAAAGACAGACAAATCATATATCCAAAATAATTACTAAAGAGAGGGACTTAAGGATGGATAAAGAAATAATAGAGGAATTTAGAAAATTTTACAGTCAATTATATTCAAAAGACAAGATATTGAAAGAAGATATTATGGAATACATTGGCCAAATGAAGCTAAATAAAATAACAGATGAGGACAGAGAATTATTGAATAAAGAGATATCGGAGGAGGAAATAGAAAAAGCAATTAATAAAATGGATGCGGATAAAGCCCCAGGGCCGGATGGGTTTACGGCGGGCTTTTATAAATCTTTCAAACAGTATTTAATACCAATACTTAAAGTCATTGTAAATGATGCGATGAAATATCAGAAAATACCAGACTCATGGAAGGAAGCTGAAATTACAGTAATACATAAGGAAGGATCCCCAGAAACTGATATTAAAAATTATAGACCGATCTCTCTTTTAAACACGGATTACAAAATATTTGCGAATATTATGGCCACAAGATTAAAAACATTTCTAAGTGAATGGATTGGAGAAGAGCAAACAGGATTCTTACCAAATAGATATATGAAAGAAAACATCCGTAACTTCCTAGACCTCCTGGAATATTATGAGATGAACCATCAAAAAGAATTTGCAATCTTATCAATAGACGCTGAGAAAGCGTTTGATAATCTAAATTGGGATTTCTTTAAGATATTAATACAAGAATTGGACATGGGAGAAAAATTCAATAATGCAATTAATGCAATTTATAACTACCAAAAAGCTAAAGTGAAAATAAATGGACAAATGACGCAAGAATTCGAGATTTCAAAGGGTACTAGACAAGGTTGCCCACTGTCTCCATTGATTTTTATAATGGCAGTTGAGATCCTAATGAAGAAAATTAGAGAGGACGAAAATATTAAAGGAGTGAAAATTGGCAGATTTGAATATAAAATACGGGCTTTTGCGGATGATTTGTTAGGAACAATTGAGGATCCTGGTAAAAATCTACATAATTGGCTAATAAAAATAGAGGAGTTTGGGAGAGTGGCCGGTTTCAAAATGAATATGAAGAAAACGAAACTTTTATTCAAAAATGTGGAAAAGGAGAAACAAAGAAAGATTCAAGAACAACTGGGGATAGAGAGTGTGAAAAAAATTAAATATCTAGGAGTCTGGATCACAGCGAGAAATGGTCAACTACTGAAAAATAATTACGAAACTGTTTGGAAGGAAATTCAGAAAGATTTACAAAAATGGAGTTATTTAAACCTATCACTTCTGGGTCGAATATCTCTAATAAAAATGAATGTTCTACCAAAACTTATATTTCTGTTTCAAAATATACCGGTAATAAGAAATCAGACCCTGTTTAAAAAATGGAAGAAAGAAATATTAAAATTCATTTGGAAAGGGAAAAGACCAAGAATAAATTATATAAATTTAATTGACAAAAAAACAAGAGGAGGTCTGGGACTTCCTGACTTTAAAACATATCACGAAGCATGCACCCTGTCATGGATAAGAGATTGGATGACTCTAGATAAGGAAAAATGTTTAAATTTAGAAGGCCACGATTTGAGAGTAGGCTGGCATGCATATGTTTGGTACAATAGAGAAACTAAGGAAAAAAACTTTGGAAATCATTTTGTGCGAGCCTCCCTACTAAGGACATGGTTGAGATACAAAGCCCTCTTCTATAAAACTACACCATTATGGGTCTCGGCAATGGAGGCCCACCAAAGGAGACTGTTAGGGTGGAGGGCATGGCCGAGATATAAGGACATCCTGCTTAAAGGGAAAGAGGAGATTAAATCTTTTGAACAACTTAAGGGTTCTTTTGGCAATATAACCTGGTTACATTATATACAAATTAAAGAATATTTTAAAGAAGATAAAAAAATTGGTTTTGACTGGGAAGAAAACACATGGGACAAAGTATTAAAAACTGGAAAGAAATAGTCTATAATAAACTGGTACAATGGCTTACGGAAACTGAGCAGGTGAAAACATGTATGATTAAATGGGCAGAAAATTTGAGAAGGCCCATTCAATTTAGAGAATGGGAACAAATATGGAATAAAAAGTTGAGATACACTTATGCGATGGACTTGAAGGAAAATTGGTACAAAATGTTTTTTAGATGGTTTCTGACCCCAAACAAATTAAGCCATATGTACAAAAATGTTTCAGATAAATGTTGGAAGTGTGGTGAACAACCAGGCACATTTTACCACATGTGGTGGACATGCAAAGAAACATCTAAGTTTTGGTCATCGATACATGAAGAATTACAAAAGATATTTAAGAGAAAGTTTAAAAAGAAGCCGGAGTATTATCTATTAGGTTTTACAGACTCAGATTTAAAATTTGATGAGAATGAAGACAAATTATTTACATACTTTACCACAGCAGCAAGGATTATTTTTGCCAAACATTGGAAAAATGAACAGATTCCAATTATTGACGAATGGAGGGAAAAGGTTATAGAAATAAGAGATATGGACGAATTAACTTTTTTGTTGAGGAAAAACACTGGAAAACCGTTAAAGAAGACAGACTGGACTTTTTTCTATGACTATGAGAAGAAAATATAGAAAGATACTAGAGGCTAAGAAAATATAAATGAGTTTTAGAAGAAATGAGAGAAGATCCTGAGACTGGAGTGGAAGTCATTTTAGAATAGTTTACGTTTTTCTTTTGTCTTGGGCACCTTTTTGTGTTTCGGCCCTTTTTTTTTCTTTTCTTTTTTCTCTCTTCTCTTTTTCTTTCTGGGGAGGGTATGGGGGTTTCCTACTTTTCTATCTTCTTTGTTATTGTTCTCCCTCTTTCCTTGTGTTGATGTGCAAAAAGCTCAATAAAAATATACATTAAAAAAATTATTAAAACTAAATATGATGATGAACTCTGCTATGGGAAGACAGCTTTGTAGATGCATGTTTCCTAAAGGAAGAAGAAGTTGGTGGTGAGGGAAAAGAAATTCTCATACCTTGAACTGTCTGAGGGTAGGATGGTGCGAGGATAGGAAGAGATTGCACTTCTAGGATCTCTTCTTTGGGCTGCGCATTCCTGTCGTGATCCTCAAGTTTGACACATTTCTGCAAGAATTCACTGACCCTTTTGGAGCTCACATCTTCCATGTCGATCTAAAGGGCAGTCAAGGGGAAGAAACCAAGCAAGAATGATCAAAAACCAAGGCATGTTCAAAACAGTCTCTCTGCTATACAAAGAGTCATGTATTTTATTTCTGCTTCACAATAACTTGCAAAAGGGATTGAAACAGAGCTAGAGAATTGCAATATTCACTGCTTAAAATACATTCATTTGTATTGGGAGTCAAAAAACCAGAATAGGATAGCCATGTAGGCAAAGAACTACTGATTACTTGCCCTCATCGTCCAAGTATCTTATTATTTACTAGCCATCCCCTGCCACATGTTGCTGTGGCCCACATGGGGATTCTGTGTGGGAGGTTTGGCCCAATTCTATCGTTGATGAGGTTCAGAATGCTCTGTGATTGTAGATAAACTATAAATCCCAGCAACTACAACTCACAAATATCAAGATTCTATTTTCCCCAAACTCCACCAGTGTTCACATTTGGGCATATTGAGTATTCGTGTAGAGTTTGGTCCAGATCCATCATTGTTTGAGTCCACAGTGATCTCTGGATATAGGTGAACTACAACTTCCAAACCAAAGGACACTGCCCATCAAACCCTTCTAGTATTTTCTGTTGGTCATGGGAGAACTGTGTGCCAAGTTTGGTTCAATTCCATCGTTGGTGGGGTTCAGAATGCTCTTTGATTGTAGGTGAACTATAAATCCCAGTAATTACAACTCCCAAATGACAAAATCAATTTTTTTGAGTGAAGGACATACACTGGGTTGTTAGGTGTCTTGTGTCCAGATTTGCTGTCAATTTGTCCAGTGGTTTTTGAGTTCTATTAATCCCACAAATGAACAACAGAGGGGAAACAAACAGGCACATGAAATCACTCTCAACAAAAGATTCCCCCCAGGCGCTTCCAAGCCATTGAATGCAAATCAAGGTGATCAGCTGAAACATTCACAGCTAGCCCCAGCAAACAAAAGTCCTTTGTCCCACCCTGGTCTTTCCACAGATATATAAACCCTTTTTCCTAGTTCCAACAGACCTCACTACCTCTGAAGATGCTTGCCATAGATGCAGGCGAAACGTCAGGAGAGAATGCCTCTAGAACATGGCCATATAGCCCCAAAAAACCTACAACAACCCACTTGCTAATTGATAGGTACCCATGAAGACATGTTTTTCCCCACAAAATCTCTCCCCAACATTCCCATGAAAGCGCTCTGACCTATGATGCCTATTTTCTACTCTGATGTGTAAACAAAGACCTTTGTAGATCTCCGTAGCTCCAGGTGTGTTTTCCTGAGAGTCTTCTATATCACATATCTCTTCACCTGACTCCTTATCTAATGTTGCAGTTTCTGGCTCCTCTGACTGACCCTGAAGCCTTGTACTTTCCAAGTACAAGGCTTCACTTGCTAATTGATAGGTACCCATGAAGACATGTTTTCCCCCACAAAATCTCTATTTCCCCCAAACTCCATCTGTGTTCATATTTGGGCATATGGAGTATTCGTGACAAGTTTGGTCCAGATTCATCCATCAGTGTTTGAGTCCACAGTGCTCTCTGGATGTAGGTGAACAACTCCCAAACTCGAGGTCAATGTGCACCAAACCCTTCCAATATCCTCTGTTTGTCATTGGAGTTCTGTGTGCCAAGATTGGTTCAATTCCATAATTGGTGGAGTTCGGAATGTGCTTTGATGGTAGGTTAACTATAAATCCCAGCAACTACAACTCCCAAATGACAAAATTATTTTTTTAGTAATGGTCACTCCTTGGGTTAGTAGGTGTCTTGTGGCCAAATTTGGCAGCAATTCATCCAGTGGTTTTTGAGTTATGTTACTCCTACAAACGAACATTACATTTTTATTTATATAGATGTATGTATTTATATCACACTTTTCTCCAATGGGTGGGATTCAAGGCGGCATACAGTACTGAAAGCAAAAGAAATTACAAACATAAAATTCAACAAGAACAACACAGACTAAATAAAAAAACTGCATATTTCATAACCTGTTGCACTCCAGGCCTGGGAACACCTACGGCCACAACACCACACAAGAGTCCAGAATATAAGCAAGCAGTTTATTGTAGACACACACACCAAAAGCATAGGAAAAAAATCAGGAATAAGTAAAGTAAACGTACTACCCAAAAAGGTTTAGCAACAGATGATAATCCAACAGTAATCCAAATGTCTCATGCAGATCCCAAGGGAACACAGTCCAGAAACAGCCAAAAAGTCACAAGTACAGCATTAAGTCCACAAGCAAAAGGCACACTTACTAAAACTTGAGCAGGAATACAAAAACAAGAACATAGAATACTTCCAGGAAACTTAAATCCAAAACCAAATTGACTTGAAAGAAGAACCAGAGAACTCAGGCCCAGCTTCACACTTGAGCACTACTACGTTGCCTGAACTAACTCTTAGGCAAACAATTTGCTAACAATCAGGGACATCTAATCACCTCTCAACAAAAGATTGCTCCAGGCACTTCCAGGCTATCAAATGCTAATCAAGGTGGTCAGTTGAAACATTCACACCTAGCTCCAGCAGACAAGAGTCCTTTGTCTCACCCTGGTCATTCCACAGATATATAAACCCATTTTCCTAGTTCCAACAGACCTCACTACCTCTGAAGATGCTTGCCATAGATGCAGGCGAAACGTCAGGAGAGAAACGTCTAGAACATGGCCATATAGCCCCAAAAACCCGACAACAACCCACTTGCTAATTGATAGGTACCCATGAAGACATGTTTTTCCCCACAAAATCTCTCCCCAACTTTCCCACGAAAGCGCTCTGACCTATGATGCCTATTTTCTACTCTGATGTGTAAACAAAGACCTTTGTAGATCTCCGTAGCTCCAGGTGTGTTTTCCTGAGAGTCTTCTATATCACATATCTCTTCACCTGACTGCTTATCTAATGTTGCAGTTTCTGGCTCCTCTGACTGACCCTGAAGCCTTGTACTTTCCAAGTCAGATTTTTCACAGAGAGAAAAATCATTCCCCTGGTTCGAACCTTCATCACTTTGAGTTCTAGGAAATCCCACAGTAAATCCCACAATCCTCTCTAAATAATCACTGAACCCATCAGCCTCCAACATAACCCATATAAAACAAATTAACAATTTACAACACATACTATTACAAATTCCCTGAACCTCAAGGCAGTGAGGATACCCATACCAACCGTTGTGTTAAGATCCTAGAAACTTCCTTTTCTTTAGGAAGTAAAACCATTGCTCGGTCCTTTTTGATCTTCTGACATTAGCCTTTTAGGTGGTGTTTAAAAAAAACCTGTTGGTGGACAGGAAAAGAGATTTAAAGATGGCCTCAAAGCCAACCTTAAAAACTCTGGCATAGACACTGAGAACTGGGAAGCCCTGGCCCTTGAGCACTCCAGCTGGAGGTCAGCTGTGACCAGCAGTGCTGCAGAATTCGAGGAGGCACGAGTGAAGGGTGAAAGAGAGAAACGTGCCAGGAGGAAGGCGCGTCAAGCCAACCCCGACTGGGACCGCCTTCCACCTGGAAACCAATGCCTTCACTGTGGGAGAAGATGCGGGTCAAGAATAGGGCTCTACAGCCACCTACAAACCCACAAAAATAGTCATCAAGGAAGACCATCTTACTCGTCCAATGAGGGATCGCCTAAGTAAGTAAGTAAGTTAAAAAAACAAAACATCTAGCAGCTTGGCATTGCAGACACTATGAAATAAAACTGCAAGTCATCCTCAGAGGCTGGTTTTGAAGAAACCACTCCAACTGCATGTCTTTCAAACGTCTCCAGTGTCTGACTTCCTGAAGGAAGAGGTCTTGAGCCTGCTGCTGCAAAACCAACAAGACGTCCCATGGCACCTTAACGCTCAATACATTGATTGCGACATACGGGACGTTTGTCCCTTGCTCAATTACAAGGGCGATCTCTGATGGAGCTATTTTTCTCAGCGATTGCTCCCCATCTCTCTCCAAACTATTCCTTCAGTCGATCACCATCTGTCCTTGTTTTTTTTTCTGGACTGCCCTTCTGCTTTGTGTTCCTGCACCCACCTTGCAATGCTTGGCTTGGCAAGCTGCTCCCACCACTGTTTCAAGTTAGACGGTTCTGACTCAGCAATGTGTTGCCACATTCATATCCTCCACCCGCTCCACTTTGGCAAGGACAGTCTGAACTCATCCTGTGTCCTGCCATTTTTTTCCAGCTGCTTTAAAAATATCCCTATTTCTCTCGTTTCCTTCCACTTTCCTGTGCTGTCCTCGGCTTACTTCAATTGCTGCAAACTGATTTCAAGGGGCAAAAGTAGTTTGCACACAATTAACTCATTATAGGGGAGAGGAAGGGGCAAAATCTTGCCCTTCCCAGAAGGCTCAGGCAAAAGGAAACTGCTGCAGACTTTTCCAGCTTATCTGTTCTTTCTCATTAAAAATCTTTGGTATTTTGGCCACACTCTGATGTTATTTGTGTGTCATGGTTTTGAACTCTGAATGTTTGAGGGCAGACAGGTTATCAGTATATATGTAGTGTGTGTGTGTGTGTATATATATATATATTTGTCATGTCAGGAGCGACTTGAGAAACTGCAAGTTGCTTCTTGTGTGAGAGAATTGGTCATCTGCAAGGACGTTGCCCAGGGGACGCCCGGATGATTTGATGTTTTTATCATCCTTGTGGGAGGCTTCTCTCATGTCCCCGCATGAGGAGTTGGAGCTGATAGAGGGAGCTCATCCGCCTCTCCCCGGATTCGAACCTTGTGACCTGTCAGTCTTCAGTCCTGCCAGCACAGGGGTTCCTATATATATATGTGAGAGAATACACACACACACACACACACACACACCTATTAAAACAGCTTCATTGGGTGCCGATAAGTTGCCAAGCCAAATTCAAGGTGTAGGTCATGACCTATAAATCCCTAAATGGTTCAGGCCCCACCTATCTCCATGATCACATCTCCTTCTATGAACCGGCGCAAGCTCTAAGATCTTTTGGGGAGGCCCTCCTCTCAGTTCTACTACTGTTAATGGGGATGAGAGAGAGGGCCTTCTCAGTGGTGGCCCCTGTCTCTGGAACGCCCTTCCAAAGGAAGTAAGACAGGCCCCACCTGTTGTTGTTGCCTGTTGTATATGTTTTGATTTTATTGCTCTATTATGTTGTCTGGGCTTGGCCACATGTAAGCCGCTCCGAGTCCCCATCGGGGAGATGGTGGCGGGGTAGAAATAAAGTTTATTATTATTATTATTATTATTATTATTATTATTATTATTATGAGTTGTTGTAGGTTTTTTCGGGCTATATGGCCATGTTCTAGAAGCATTCTCTTCTGACGTTTCGCCTGCATTTATGACAAGCATCCTCAGAGGTGGTGAGGTTTCAAATATTAATAATATTAATAATAATAATAATAATAATAATAATAATGGTTTAAATTCAGACTGACAAGAGTTTTGGAGCATGATACTCTTGACTTATTATTATTATTATTATTATTATTA